GTTCCCAGATTAAAGGACGAAGACGATCCATCAGTTTGGTATGAGGTATGGAAGTGTGATGAGTGGGGACAGTAAAATATTTTGAGGAGTGGATACTTTAAAATTGATAAAAAATATATTTTCATTTTCCACTTTTGGAGCATAAAGCATCACGATACGACTGTAATACTGACTTAATGGTACTGAAAATGGAAGTAATTTGGATAATGACCTGATAGAGCAACAAGGACAGACAGTGATTATTTCTTCTTGATAAGAATTCTTCTTAAGTTTCCGGACTGATATAAAAAAAAAAAAAAAAGGCTGGTCCGTATCCTCATCATTAACTGCTACTCGAAGATATTGTAATAAAGAAACATGATTAGCTATTTTTTCGCCTACTTAAAACTTGGTAAATGTAAGGGAAGGGAAGGATTTCCTTGGTTTAGAAGCAGTCTTGCTCCCACTTTTTAGCAAGCAGGAATTGTAACAATGTATACACATGGATATATTAGTTTTAGATGAACTGTCTGTCGACACATGAATATCAAACAGATCATTGAGTGTGGCTAAGATATTTGGGTCAAGAAACACTTTTCTTTTGCTTTCATTTTCGATTTGAAACTGCTAATTCATTTTTTGAATGATGGACCTGCTAGATTTAAACCACTCTGAAAGTGCACACAGTTCTTGGGTAGTCTTGCATAGATTCCATCATTATCTTGATATTCACATTCCATTAGATAGTCGGAGTGCTCCGATTCTTTGGACATTTATGAACAGTTTATGTAGCTTTACAGTATAAAGGTTGTTCTAATGTCATTTAATTTCAGCTGTTGTAGCGTTTGGTTGTTGTTCAAAGGCTTGGACAGCAGGTCGCTGGTCTTTCCCCGGGAACTCCGGCTTTCCTCCACCACCAAAACCTGGCACGTCCTTAAATGACCATAGCTGTTAATAGGACGTAAAACACAAACAAACAAACAATATCAAAGGTTTGAAGCAATATATTCAGAATAACAGTAAGAATTTACGGTGATATGTTAGCTTTGAAGGACTTCAAGTCTCTTGAAGCGTAGGATATTGACTGATGTCACTGGCATCTATCTCCTTGTTGGCAAATTCGACTTTTATAAAATAAATCCGATCTACTGGAAACATCGACACTATGCGTCCGAATTGGCTTAAAGAAGCGAGTTTGTGTTACATCACTACATATTTTGATGAGGTTCCCAACGAGACATCCTCAATACTCCAGGGGTTACTCTCACTTTCGCTCTCTGCACCCCTGGGATATGTCATAGCATAACCGAAGGCACGCGGCTAGCTTTTTGATTGGTGTCAGGTAACTAAACATGACCAATCACTTGGCTGAAACCTATCCTTTGAAGATTACAGAAGAGCGACACCCGACTTTAAAGCCAGTCAATTTTACCGTTACGCGACCGCGAGAATCTTTTGATGTACATCAAAGGATCAAAATAGTCTTCCTATCTCATCCACAAAGAGGCGCACATTGAGCCTCCGATTTTCCTATGACATATTCCAGGGGTGCAGAGAGCGAAAGTGAGCGTATCTTCTGGAGTATCGAGGATGCCAACGAGCATCAGGAAGAGTTTCTGTGGAATTTTCCTCTAACGATCGTAATACCGTGAGAGGAAGCGAATACAGTGCGATTCCAACAGGGTCGACACCAAATGTTTACTTCTTGTTTCTACAAGGTCTTCAAACATAACAATGATTGTGGGTGGACTACTGTAATTTAGACGTTAATGTTTACTATGACGTCTCATTGGAGAATTGAACGAAGTTTGTTTGACTGCATGCTGAACTTAACAAATTTACTACAGAATATTAAGCTACAAACATTAGACTGGAAGGTTGGTCACGTTGAGCCCATATTGAATAATTTAGATCGACATGACAGGGTATAGTTGTAATCACCTATCCACTTATATTACCGGTCATATCATATGCTGACGATTGGACATTCTATGAACTATCAGGGTATTTGAAAACAATGTCAAAGCGCAGTTGAATTTCATGCTATGCCGTTTATTTCATCAGTGTTGCCACAGCTTAACTCCGTTGTTGTTATACTCTTCTTCTAAGTTTGCCATGGTCCTTTGGTTATACAAGGTATATCTACCCACTTGTTAATTGACAGGGCACTAGACGAAACGAAACGTCAAGTTAATCCTGTTGTAGGGATCACAGACGCAGAGAAAACCGTGGATATTAGTACAAATATGCAGACCTTTGTCAAGATTCCTGCACTAAACTGGCTCATTGCTCTCATCAACAACGCTCCCGAACAACACAACGAAGCAAGTACTGACCCGGAACCCGAGGGAAACAGGAAGTACTGACCCGGAACCCGAGGGAAACAGGAAGTTCTGACCCGGAACCCGAGGGAAACAGGAAGTGGTGACGTCCGAGAAACACATGGCCTGGGACCAATAATCATAAATAAAACCATTTTTCATGCTGAAGTTTAGATTCTGTGCTCAAACCAACTTTCTTGCAACTCGCTTAAATAATGTCAAACGATCAAAAAGTCAATTGTAAACATTGAAAACAGTAATCTGCTTTAAGTATCTCCAATGGTTCCAAATCATTGACAACATAAGATCTTCTTTATTAATTTATAACGGGAACAAGAAATTCGGCTTGAGCACAAAATGCATGAGAACGATTTTATGAATACGGGCCCAGGAGGTAGACACTAGGAGCGTGTGGCTAAACTGAAGCCCTGCATTGATTTTTTAATAATCAAAAAGCATTGTCATTTCGGATAATCTTTTATTGATTTCAGGATGTCACAGGGAACGTTGTGGGTTCTCATTAATGGCAAGTCAACATCAAATTTTCATCAAATTCAAAAGATGCCTTTTTAATCTTTTTAATAATCTTATAAAAATATGAATTTTCGCATAAGCAGTAGGACTAGCTATTGCATTTTCTTCAAAATTACATACAAGACTAAATTTAATTGATCTTGAAAGCTAGAAGCAAGTACAACATTAAAAGCATGAACAATCCTTTAAAATATTTGCATATAACAGATCAACAGCAAAGCGTTTTATGAACTGAGTATCTCCTTTTTGTGAAGTTTTATCAAAGACTTTCATATAGGAATTAACAGTTCATCAAACTTAAGTGGGTTTTCAAGTTTCTTAAGTGAAAACAAAATATGTCTATCTGATATTTTTAATATCAATTTGCACTTAGAATAAAAATTCTTGAAAAAAAAATTATGGATGTATTGCCAATGAAATTAATTTGAGTTCAGAATTGTGAAAATGAGTTGGATGTTTTATTCAAACTCTTTAACCCTTTCACCCCTATGTAACTTCAGTAGACTCTACCATGCATTGATCTGGATGAGTCCATTATGGTCTACAGTGGTGAAAGGGTCAAGAGTCATGTAATTTGGAAATCATTTCCCATGTTTAGACTGGCTACGGATCTTTGACATTATAATGAGTACAAACGAGTCTCAAATTCTCCACTGAGAAAAGTATAAAGAGGCACAGATATCTGATTAATAAAAATCAAATTAGTGAAAGACAATCAATATTTTCAGACACTGCAATAACAACACAATACCTATAATAACAAAGTATACAAGATGACAAGGACTGCCCATCAATACATAATGTAGAAATATTAGCATGCAAATTTGTCCCCAAAAATATCATAAGAAACAAAGTCACAATCACAATTGCATTACAAACACTTCAAGACAAAGTAAGCATTTCACTGGTAAAATTGCAAATATCATTTTCTGGAAATGAACTTATTTTAGCACATTCAAATTCCTACTCATCACCACATTCCTCATAATTATCACCCCTCCCCCCTATAAGTGCCACTCCCCATTTTTGGTGGGAGTCAAAATGATAAAGACCCCTTCCCCCTTCAAGACCCGGTCAATGATATTTATAGTACAAACACAGATTTTGTGTCTGATGACCATGGCTCAACTTAATAATAATAATAATTTGAGATTCTTATATACTGCTTTATCACAACCTAGTTCGTAGTTAATCTGAAAGTGGTTCTTCAATTATTATCTTTGGTTATAGGGCCTTTGCAACCAGATAATATCTTTCTCAACTCCCTGGGGAGCATACAGCCGGAGCTGCCATTTCGGCGCTCACAGCTAGCCTTCAACAATTTTAGCACTGCCCAAAAACATACTCATTTACAGCTGAGTAGACTGGAACAAACGGAGTAAAGTATCTTGCTCAAAGATACAACACAGTGCTGTGCTGTGCTGTGCTGTGCTGTGCCGTGCCGTGCCGTGCCAAGACTCAAACACGCAACCCTTCGGTTACGAGCCTGGCGTCCTACCACTAGACTACCGTGCCTCCCATGAAGTGGCTGAAACATTTGGTTTCCAAATTGCAGCCAAACTGGAAAGTTTATAATGTGCTTCGGATATAACAATTCAAGTTTAACAACTTTTTTATCAAAACTTACATTTTTTTATCCCAATAAGCTCCCCCTCCCCCCTATTTGAGCCATTTTAAGCACCCTGGGCACTAATTACAGTGAATGCAGTATTTAATTTTCAACATGTTAGCGGATTTATGAATTGATGCCTGCACAATATATGCAATATAATACTATATACAGAAGCTTCAATTGGTGTAATATTAATTTACCTATAAAGGGGGAGGGTAGGAGGAAGGGGGGAGGGGGAGTTGATGGGAAGGGGTGGGTGGGTTAAAATATAAACATATTTTCTAAAAATATCTGTCAAATAAGTTAACTCATTTATCCTTAAAGACACTTTTGAACTCTTCCAATTCAATGGTTCGAATAGTTCATTATGAAATTTTCAGGGGTGAATGAGTTAAACTTTAGAAGGGGATTAATACTAAGCATGGGTTTATCACTGGTAATATGGTAAGTACACTTGTCTATATCAATCACCCAATCACAATAATAAATAAATAAAAAAACTTGTGTAAAAATCTTAATCAGCATATGGACAAATTGGAATTTGGAATGTGTTGTTTTTTTTTGTTATATTCTACAATCAAGCAACAAGTTGGGATTTGGAATATTCTTTTTAAGATTTTCCAACTTGATTGTTTTAAGACAATTTTGTTTGCAAACCATAATATTTTTCGATAACTGTGATGATATAAATATAGGAATTCTCCCTTTACAATATATTAATTTGCATTTTTCAAAGAAATAGCTCTTATTTGCTAATTTTATAGTTTAAGAAAAAACATGTACATATGTATCCTGAAACAATATTTTTTGATTTTGCTAAACCCAAATGCAAAAAAACAAATATTATGAAGATTCAGCAACTATCTAGCAATGGCAAAACAAGAGAAAATGAGCAAATACCTAAATGAGTTTGAGCTTGAGAAAGAACACCTTGCAATATTTCATTATGCACATATTCTCCATAGAAATTCACAAAATAAGACATTCATACAATAAATAGATAAACGTTCTTAAAATGATTTCAATGTTTCTAGATTAAGTTTAACTTTACAACTACAGACAATTGTCTAGAAAACAAAAATCAGGAAAAAAATGAAAATCATTACTTAAAGGTGCATGCTACCTTTTATATACATAACTTTGTAAGATAGTTATCTCCCTTACAAATAACAGCTGTCTTAGCCTTATCAACATATAATTCTTGTATTTTTCAATCTTGTTATCAATTAATTAATTCAAATTACAATTCAAAAAAGATATGTATGTTTTGTAGGTTCACAACTCTTTTACATAGGATAAGCATATCATAGGAAGGTAGCATACAGCCTTAACAGTAATTCACTGAATGAATATGGCTGGTAAATAAACGTATTTTCTAGAAGTTTTCATAAAACTGTTCTGATTCTCACCCTTAAGTTATGTGAGCTCAACCTATTTATCTTGTAATTTAATCATCAAGTTATTTTGAAAATTACATTTTCTATTAAATCGGGAGTTACACTTGGGTGCAGAATCTGAGATTGAGCACAAGGATAATGTTTATGAATACAGACCCAGACATACAATGTTCTTCAGGATTATACAACAAAAACTTTTAAAATTAAAATGATTTCATGAGAATAAAGGAGTCATCGGAACTCAATCATCAATTATTTTTCTGAATACTTTTCTCCTGAAACTGATTTATTAGAATAATTATCTATAAATATGTTTTACTTAAGAATGTCACACTAAAACATAACACTTATATTTCAACAAGAGAAATAAACATGAAAAAATGGCACAAAAAAATCATATGATATTATACCATGCCTATTCAATGCTAATAATGATATGCTAGACATGTTAAAATGTCAAATAACATCTGCTTTACTTTAATAAGAAAGTCAGAAATAGACAGCAGATAAGCTATGCCAGCTTAACTCATTTACCCCTGAAGACACATTTGAACTATTCTAATTCAAAGAATGGAATAGTTCATTATGAAAATTCAGGGGTGAATGAGTTAATGCTTAAGGTAAAGGGGTAACAAAATATTGACCTATAATATTAATACTGTCAATACTGTGAAATATTATAAGTCCTTCTCAAAAGAGGTATTCCATAAAAATCACACGTAGCAATGCATTTCAAGGAATTATAGTTACTTTCAAAATTTGAATGTTTGAAAGTTTAAAATACAATTAACAAAAGAAAAAGAAAAGAAAATATATGAAAGTTGAAGTATTGAACTCCAGACTTTTACATTACAAAGTCTACTCATTGACAGCGTTGTCACCCTGGGATTATAAATGCATTGCACCAAAATAAGTGTCAAATTGATGATGCGCTGCAAAGCCTATGAAAAAAAACAAGCCATTCAGATTGGTATGTCTCTTCTGTGCCCCGCTTTGACCATCAGTTCACATATCAGAGAAACTAACTTAAACACAAAAACTTAATGTTGATGGAGATGCTGACTAATTCAATGGACAATGACAGGAAGGCCGCATCCAGCATTTGATGTATGAGTTGAGATGTGCTACCTAAGATGCATCTATGGTGCAAGTTTGGTTGGTCTAGCACTGATACTTTAAGTGAAACTAAGTTAAGGGCAAAAATTTAATGTTGACGCTGCCGTGGAGAGAAAAAGCAACACCTAAGTCTCGCTTCCGCTACTTCATGGCGGCAAGACAGAAACTCCATTTGGTTGCTTCATCCTCTATATAGAAGGGAGATTACTCTGTAAAAACTACGAATGGAACTCTTCTTTGTGGTTATAACTGATGTAATGGTACCCTTTACCTTAACCCTTTCACCCCTAAAGTCACATTTGAACCTTACCAAATCAATTACTGGGCAAGTCCAGTTTAGATATGTAGGGGTGAATGAGCTGATAGATTACTGATGATAATGATTTGGTATTCAACACATTATTCTATCAATTTTTTTCCATAAAACAAAATGAAATAGCCAGTCCTTATAAAGACATGAGATTCAAAAAATATAATTTCCTGAGCTAAAAAGAAAGTAAAAAGAAAAATCTCCACACATCAAAGTTACATAAAACAAGAATCATTGTCAACCAATCAACACTTTCAAAAGTTCAAGTTTTCCCATCCTTGAAATTCCAGAAATTCCACTCTTGTGTCATGACATAATGAAATCAGAGGGCCTGAGTGTAAGCAGATGGTCTGAGTGCGCCCCCTTATGTGTGATGCAAGTAGAATGATGTATAAACCTTATTTATTTTACAACAATTTTGAAACAACTTATAACAACTTATATACATTACTCTTGTTGGCCTGGATTTATCATTTTAAGCGCGCGGGGTCTTATTGTAGGTGGAAACCAGAGTACCCGGAGAAAACCCACGTGGTCGAGCAGGTGACCCCAAACCTTTACACATCTGATCGGAGAATCAAACCACAGCCGCCTTGGTGAAAGTTGAGGGCATTATCCACTGCGCCACCCCACCACCCATTACGTAAAATAGTTTGATAGCTTAAAAGTATAACAGTAAAATGTACAGGCTTTGAAGCTGGGTGTTGTTTCTCTATAATCTTCAAAGGGAAGGTATCAACCTAGTGATTGGTCAGGTATTCTTTTTACCTGAAACAAATCAAGCTGTCTAACGGACTGCATGTGATTTTGTTATAACATATTCTAAGGTTGCAGAGAACATAAGTGAGCGTAACCCCTGGAATTCCAAAGATCGATAATCCAAACTGAACTTTTCTGATATCCCTTTCTCAAGTCTTGAATATTTTGTATAGATTGTCATAGGATCAAAATCCAAACTACTAACTAGTCAAAAGAAATATACGAAAAAATGATACAAAATTCATCAGTCAAAAAACTCACATTTGAATATTTATAATTAACAAGTGTAAACAGTGGAATGATATGTATAATCGTCAGATGTATATTTACACTAAAACAACACAATTCTGGATAAATTCATTTTTGATATGTATGATAGAAACAATGAAGGCAATGTATATGATAAAACATTTTTTTTCTATAAATTTTACCTCTCCTTTCATAAATAATACCATTTAGAAATCATTTTATCTGTGGGCCATGGAGCTTTTGACCCCTATAATTTCAAAACAGTACATCTCTTTCAGTTTTAATCATTATTTCACTTTTACTTTTGTCAATATTGAAATTGAAGGATCATTTATTTCTTATGAGCCATAAATAGTTTGACCCTAAATAATTAAGTTCAAATGGTGAAATCCATTGTTGTTTTATTTTAATTTCCTATAGACTGGTTCTAACGTATTTCTAAATATTTTGAATACAGCCAAATTTAGCTATCATCTTTTTAAAGCCAGAATAAATCCTTAACTCATTAACCCCTGAAGTTTCATAATGAACTATTCCAACCTTTGAATTGGAAGAGTTAAAATGTGTCTTCAGGGGTGGTGAATGAGTTAAGCTTGAGAATTAAATCATCAAACTGTCTTAGTAGACAGAATATAGGAGATTACATATAACAGGAATGTAAGTTTAAATTCAAATCTGCATGATAAACATACAGAATTTGTAAACGATCAAAAGGCAAATGCATTGTATGTATAGAATAAATGTTTTGTCAAAAATATTACAATGTAAAAAAAAAGATTGACAAAAAGAGAAATATTTAATAGAATATTTATGATAAAGTGATTCAGTTTATGTTAAAAAAAAACAACCATGGAATTCTGACATATTATATTGGGGAAGGAAGGACAGTAAATTCACCAATATTTTCTATGAACTGATGAAAAACTCTACTGTCTGAATAGACTAACAACTCTACTGTCTGAATAGACTAACTCAGGCAAACAAAGAAGTAGATTCAGAGACATAAATATAAACTTCTAAAGAAATAAATAACTTTAAAAAAAAAAGGGAGGTTACTAAGTAATGAACCTTTCCAGCATAAAAATTAGATGTGTTTGATACAGAATCTTTATATCTCATCTAGGTTATCTTTCTATACTGAGAATTCAAAAGCCAACAGCTTTGTTTGACAAATCACTTTTAAATAAATAGTAAAAATTTAAAGGGTATTAAATGTTATAACGACTACAAGTATGAAAATTAATTTACAATACGTGAACATGTAATAATTAAGAAAGAAAAAAAATGAAAAAGATTTTGATAATACATTTACACCTCAGACTGTCTGTGTTGCAACCAGTTTTAAAATGGGATACATTATAATGCGCAAAACTCTCACACCACTAAGAGTAAGATGCATCATTAAATTCAACCCATATTACAAATGTTGACCGTTCATCATATATATGTAAAGACACTTTCTGACAATGTCAATGAAATATTTCCTTCTTGAAAGAGTTTCATAGGGAAGGGAGGTAATCAAGTAGTGACCACCTTTACTTATTGAAAATCAAATATGGCACTTCAGCTGCCCGTGAAGAAGAATATACAATATCAGCAGATTATGTTTTCCTGGCTAAAATCTAACATTATTCAACATTCCAAGTAAAATTTATCTACATATATTTAAAACAGTTTAAATTTCTTGAAAAATATCATCAAATATGATATTGAAGAAAGTGTCTTTCAAGACATACATAACCCCATAAAATTTAAACCGATGGAAATGAATTAAATATGCAAACTATCATCTTTAGCCCTGTATGCTGGTCTTGGATTTTTGAAATTTTCGTAACTGGTAGGCACATGTCGTAGATATCCCTTGCGTATCGCCCACACTGTGATGGCCACCATGGCTGCGACACCTATCAGAGCACACACGAGACTAACTCCGATGGTGAGACCGACACGCAGAGATTCATTTCCTGGGGGGTATGGAGAAGCAGGAGTTACCTTTCCTGTCAATGGAAATGGAAAGACTTGAACAGAAGTAATGCTTAATTTCTGAACAATAAATGATTTCGATAACTAGATAATTTTTAAAAATATTTCACTGTGACGTCACCTTGTGGAATTTCAGATGGAAGCCATATCGGAATCAGTCCAGGATCCGATTTACCAATGTGGTTGCGATGTTATTGAAATGTTTTGTGCACCAAACAACGTCTTTGGGTCAGAAATTCTATTGCAGGTGTTCATTATCTTCAACAGGTATTATCATGAACTTTTATTTGATCGCTTGGACCTGCTTAACCAAAATGGAAGTGACTTATTTTCATTTGGAAGACAAGATTTTCCCATGACGCTTTGGAGTATTTTAAGTAAATGAAAACATACAACAGTTTGGCTATCTAACACTGATCCAAACAAGTTGTTTGCAGATTTTTATTAATTCATTTCTCGGACCTGTAGCATGGATATGGTGACATTTATGAACAAACTAAGTTGCCCTTCACCTGGGCTAGTCACAGGCCATATATCATGACTCTAGTCTAGTCTTGCAGACTTGAGAAGAGGTTCTGAAAAATGTATTGGATGAACAATAGACAGACAGGCGGCAGAAAGAGGCCACCACCATATGTCAAAAGCTCAACTAAGCCTTTCGTACTATGTAACTTTAAAACAGGACCCTATCCACTTTACACTTTTGAAAGTGTGTAGTATGTGTATTGTGGGGTATAGGTAGGGTTGGGGGTCAAAATATGTTTCTGTCCCCTCCCACACTCTTTTTCGCAGGATGATTTTGACCCCATGATCTTGACCTTGACCTACAAAATCTAAAGGTCTTACCATTATCAGCTGAGAAGTTGAATCCCTGGAAAAAGTTTAGGTCAGGCTTTGTAGCATTGCCTTGAAACATCCAACCATCAAACCCAGGTTTTCTGTTCAGGTAGCCAGCTATTTGGAATTCATCTTTGGGACTAAAACGGGGACTGGATTTCAAAAGCTTGGTCATGGTAAAAATTATCCTGATCCGTGAATCAGCACTGCTGTATGGATAACCTGAAAAAATTGAAACCAATATTCTTAGTTGTAAATACAACATAAAGAATTTTAACTCATTCACCCCTGACACACATTTGAACTTTTCCAATTCAATGGTTGGAAAAGCTCATTATGAAATTTCAGGGGTGAATGAGTTAATACAAAATATATTTATTGCCAACATTTTTAGAATGCTTCTTGATTCGTAAGTCCTATCTATATATACCCTTTTTATTACCCTTATTCTTGGTAATAAAAAAGAGGTTCATTGGGCTTGTATTGCTTGACCCATTTCTTTTAATAATAATAATAATAATAATAATTTGAGGTTCTTATATACCGCTTGATCACATCCTTGTTTGTAGGTCGTCTCAAAGCGGTTCACAAATTATTATCCGTGGTTATAGGGCCTTTGCAACCAGCCAATACATTTCTCAACTCCCTGGGGAGCATACAGCCGGAGCTGCCATTTCGGCGCTAACAGCTAGCATTCAACAATTCTAGCACTGCCCAACCACATACTCATTTACAGCTGAGTAGACTGGAACAAGCGGATTAAAGTATCTTGCTCAAGGATACAACACATTGCCGTGCCGTGGCGCGAACCCGCAACCCTTCGGTCACGAGCCTAGCGTCCTACCACTGGACTACCGTGCCTTTTGTTATACATACTAGATAAAAAGTTGATATGCTGCTAATTTTAGAACCATGGGGGGTCATCTCTGCTTTCAAATTTGACCCAAAGAATTAGAATAACAGCATTTGGTAAGGACTATAACAAAAGCAGCCCTAGATTTACCAGGGTGGCAATTATTGCAAATAAAGGTTAAATATAGGAAAAAAAATTACACACAAGAAATGAATATGGACTTCAATATCTAATTGAGCACTTGGCTCCAATGAGCTAAAATTAGGTAAAATAAAACTACTACAAACCAGAGATATCAAATGTTGCATCAGCATCCGAAAAAGTTGCGTATATTCCGGTATCTATGTGGGCTGAATTCACGGAAATGCTAAATGGATAAATGTGGAAGCTATATTTGTAAGTTCCATTCCATTTTTTGAAAGTGTTAAAAATGTCCACCCATGATCCAGTGGCGTTATTGGAAGCATCTACAAATACAGTCAAATTAAATTCATTAAATAAATATTTACATCAATATCTTTGCAATTCAATCACAAATTTTTAAACAAACATAAATATATTTGTTATTGGCAATCACATATTTTTAAACAAACATAAATATATTTGTAATTCAATTACATTTTTAAAGAAAATAGACATTTTTATAATTATTAATACCACACAGCTGGTTATTTTCACAGGGATAATATTTTTGCTACCAATAATTTAGAAAACATATACTTTTTTTAATTCAGAAAACATATATACATAAAAAGTATGTTATACACTGTAGAGTCCTCGGTTTTCAATTGTTCAAAATTTCCCACGTGAGCAAAGCTTTTTGTAGGTCATGGGAGTGAGTTATCAACAAATAACACTGATCAAGACTGAAAAAAATGGGAAAATATTATTAGCTCAGGCTGGAATATTTAAACAATTGAAAACCGACGACTCTACTGATTGAGTGTGGCAGCTCAGGGTGATATAAAGGGTGGATTTAATTTGGATCAATAAATAGCCCATTCATCGATATATGTGAGGTATGTGTTATGTCATAGTAGATTTTTTGTTGTCAGCACCTCAAAACTCTCCGATACCAAACAGTGTCGGAGAATTCCATGTTTTCATATATATAGTAGTGTGCTCTGGCCCCACACCAGACATCTATCTGTCATAATGTCTAAGTCTGGTGTCACAAAAAACACGGGCTATGTATTTACCTGTAACTGGAGAGAAGCACATTACAACCAAAATAAGGCTGGTGATGAGGTTGGTGGTTCGGCTTACTTCTACTACTGTCATTGTTACATGTGTAGTTCATCTGGCCATCTGATTCTTCTTCTACAGCCCTACTGGTGACCAATCTGTAGAGTAAAATAGTTGAAAGTGTATATGTCTGTAACAGGAGAAAGAGAAATGTAACGGCCAGTACTTGGGACCTTCCAAACACTAGATGGACGCTCTACCAATTGAGCTACCTGGTCGCCAATGACCGACCAAGTCCAGTTCCACTACATTCCTCCATCCCTTTCTTAGTCTTAACCTCCAAAGACACAATTATTTACAACCCATGTTCCGGTATCCCCATTCTAAACATAATCCCAATGCTTCAACAAGGGTTGGCAAGCTCGCAAATTTTGTAACATGAGAAGGAGAAATGAAATGGCCAGACCTAGGTTCGAACTCGGGACCTTCCGAACTCTAGACCGACGCTCTACCAATTTTAACTTCCTGGTTGCCGACAAACGAGCCGGTCCAGTTCCGCTACATGTCCAATGTGAAGGTTTCCGAAATAGATTTTTTTTAAAGAAAAATATTAATATTTTCAACAACAGGTATGTTTCTGGAGCACCATTTTACGGTCCTCCTTAAAAGCGTCTTCAACCGACAACAAGCGTCTTCAAGTGACAACAAGCGTCGCCAGACAAAATCTTTTAAAATACCGAATAAAGTAAGCGACATCAGAAGATATGTTGTTAATATGACTATAATACACCTCTGTACCAAATTTCAGCTCGATATTCGATAAAATGACCGAGTTATGATAATTGATTTTTTACGATCGCGGCGTGGCAAATGTGTGTATTCGCATGTAAAGTGAAGAAAGCGTCGCCAGATAATATCGTTACAATTACTCGCTAAAGTAAGCGACATCAGAAGATATGTTATTAGTTAGACTTTTATTGATATATATTCCAAATTTCAGCTCGATATTTGAAAAAATGATCGAGTTATGATTGATTTATTATTACGATCGGCGGCGTGGCACACGTATGTGAATAGAACTCAACATATGAAGAAGCGTCTTCAGAACATATCTCTAAAATTCATCGATTAAGAAAGCGACATCAGAAGATATGTTATTCATATAACTATGATACACCTTTATACCAAACTGCAGGTAGATATTTGAATAAATTACCGAGTTATCGTGAATTTATTATTTTACTATCGTCGGCTTGGCACACGTGTGTTTATAAAACTGTACCGATCAAGAAGCGTCTTCAGGTTTACCTCTTAAAATAATTGATAAAGTAAGCGACATCATGAGATATGTTATTCTTATGACTATGATACAACTATATACCAAATTTTAATTTGATTTGTTGAAAAATGATTGAGCTATCGTGAATTTAATTCATACGATTTACAGATATATTTGTGTACGTAAGGTATACGTAGGGCTTCGCATAGGCAGAGACGTGTATGTGTTATACGTCTCTGACCTAGGTGAACACAGTTAGAATATATTGCTATATAAACATTGATACACCTTTAATCAGCTGTGTCAAGAATAGCATTATTGTATTTATTGAATTAAACAATGTGTTTAATTATATAAAAAAAATATTATAAATAATATAGTGGGAGGGGGATGCGTAATTTTCGAGTTTCTCAGGACTTTTTGAGAAAGATGTTGGCCCTGAAAAGGGCCGTTTAAGCAGGCGACTAGCGCAGTCTTTGACAGAACAACGCTAGTCGAACCTGTCTGGCGAACCGCCAAGTGGTAGTACGGTTCAGGTGAACCCCATCAATAAAGTCTGTCCTTTTGAGGCGCCTCAGCCCCCGCAAGGACCAGAAGTGGACCTTGGGGTGCTGCCTGTATTTCCTCGCCAGGGCTTCATTCAGGGCTTCCACTTTCATATTATATTCTGTGGCCGTCATCCCTCGTGGACGGTATCTGTAAAATACTCCCGATAATGATGGTTGGGGGGTCGGGCTTCTCCAAAATAGTTTTGACCAGTTGGTCGATGTTTTCAACTATTCCCTCCAGTGTCGACACTGCAGAGATGTCATTCCCCGCAACCTGCAGAAAAACTTTGGATACATCTGTTGTTATGCGTTTGGATACCATTCAACAATCGCAGTACTCTGACATACGTAGATCGTTGCATGGTACCAGAGACTATGAATTGGCCGCGCACGCGCAGCATTTCAAGTTGAGCACAGTCGTGTGGCGGGAATTGTCAACGTTTGATAAAGCGCGCAAAGTTGACAAGTTCCTAAAGCATGTGTGGAAGAAAACAGACTTTTTAACTTCTACGAATGGTATGTTAACAATACCTAAAACCGCAGCAATCGCCAAAAAACCAGGGACGCGAAAACGTGTTCGCGCGAATCGCACAGAAACTCACGGCCCTGTTAAACAACAAAAGTTGTAACTTAGTTACCTGCTGACAATTACGCTAAAAGAAGAATATTTTTACGCTTTCACAACACTTGTGTGCCCGCAGGACGGGATTCAAGATGTGATTTTTTTTGACATTTGACTTTTTTGGAGAAACAGTTATTCTGACGTGTACAGACAAAATGTATTTGATACCGATATTTACACCTGTGTGCCAGTCCTTTCATTAGAAGTTTAAAACGATTTTATTTTTCAGCTTTACCTTTACAACAATAACCATTACAATTTGGTGTAGTATTCATTTAAAACTATAGGTATTTTTTTTTAAACATCAACATTAAATCCATCAGTCACACGAACATATAACGGACCCTGAGTAGAACCACGTCCACGTCCGTGGGGTCTGGTAACATGCTCGTTTCAAGAGTGTGGCTGAGAGTTCTACAATATAATCCGTTCTAACTGTGTTCACCTATGCGAAGCCCTACCCTACGTACACATATCTGACACTGCGTATAGCTTCGTAAAATTAAATTCACGATAACTCAGTCATTTCCCAACAAATCTACCTGAAGTTTGGTATAAAGGTGTATCATAGTTATATGAATACCATATCTTCTGATGTCGCTTACTTAATCGATTAATTTTAGAGATATAGTTCGAAGACGCTTCACAATCTGTAGAGTTCTATTCACACACGTGTGCCCCCCCGCCGATCGTAATAATGAAACTTATCATAACTCAATCATTTTTCAACAAATCTACCTGCAGTTTGGTATAAAGGTGTATCATACTTATATGAATAAAATATCTTCTGATGTCGCTTACTTTATCGATTAATTTTAGAGATATAGACTGAAGACGCTTTACGATCTGTAGAGTTCTAATCACACACGTATGCCACGCCGCCGATCGTAATAATAAATTAATCATAACTCGGTCATTTTTTCAAATATCGAGCTGAAATTTGGAATATATATCAATAAAAGTCTAACTAATAACATATCTTCTGATGTCGCTTACTTTAGCGAGTAATTGTAACGATATTATCTGGCGACGCTTTCTTCACTTTACATGCGAATACACACATGTGCCACGCCGCGATCGTAAAAAATCAATTCATCATAACTCGGTCATTTTATCGAATATCGAGCTGAAATTTGGTACAGAGGTGTATTATAGTCATATTAACAACATATCTTCTGATGTCGCTTACTTTATTCGGTATTTTAAAAGATTTTGTCTGGCGACGCTTGTTGTCACTTGAAGACGCTTGTTGTCGGTTGAAGACGCTTTTAAGGAGGACCCCCATTTTATTCATTTAAATGAAACAATGCATGCTTCAGCTTTCATTTAATGTATTTGGTGGATATTGCCAACACATGTGTCTATCTATCTATAGAGCCCATTTGACCAAATCGATGGTCAAACGTGTCAACTATCCTCATGTAGTGTCAAGCAGGTCACGTAGTAACGAGATACAGCTTGATAAATTGGCGGAGTGAAAATATATAACGCGCGGAAACCTATGACGAGACGATTTAAATGGAAATGTAACATGACATCATTCTATATTTTTGTAACCGCTACTGTTTGTTTAGAGTAAGAATATTGATCAATACTGAAAATGGAAAATGGAGTGAAGACAAGCACATGATAGTGGACTAAGTCAGATACCCACATGTAGTTATCGAGATATACTCACTTCCTGCAAAATCTTTATTGTTGTTGTTAAACGGCGCTACTTGATTTGCCTTTCGTCGTTAGTGGAAGGCGAAGGCACTTGAGTGCAAATTTTAATTAGCCACTGTGATTACCGGCCTTCGTCAAATACAAAATACAAAAATAACGTACAACTACATGCTGAGACCGGCTAGTTTAAACAATGTTTGTATCTATATAAGGTATATTTTTGTTGGTCAAAAGCTTTAAACACTACTGTATTTTCAACACATTTCGTACGCCGTCAACTACAAATCAAGTGGACCCATATGGGGCGCCTAGTGTTAGGAATATTTTTATGGAAATATTTTACAAGCACCTTAAAAATAATATATGGCGCTCCACATACTATACAGCGCGTGTCCACTTATATCTTCAATCATGATTACCGTAATTAAAGGTCAATTATCATGAAAGCTAAGACAAATTAAGATAACTATCATTATTTTACTACAAGCATTTTTGGAGTTGTGACCCTTTCTGGAATCAAGACGTGCTGAGAGGAATTATATGGAGGAAATAGTCAGTAGTGACCTTGCCAAAGATCCCCGGAAATTCTGGTTCTATATTAAGGGTAGGAAGTAGAACTCCAGCGGAATCACTTCACTCAAGAACAGAGATGACTTCCTTCACAGTGACACGCCGACCAAGGCCACTATACTTAACCAACAGTTCCAGTCGATGTACACTACCCAGTCCTTTCTCTTCCATGCAAGGGATTCAGATCAGTGCTGCTGGAGTACAGCTGCTGGAAGGAACTCGTCCTTTCAAAGCTACAGGCCCGGATGGGATTCCAGCCTTCATACTCAAACAGGCAGCACTAGAGATTGTCCCACTCCTTACCAGTATATTCCAGCTAGCACAAGACAGAGGAACCGTGCGGATGACTGGAGAGAAGCCCACATAGACCCTATCTACAAGAAAGGAAAAATACATGTCGCCGCCAACTACAGACCAGTCTAATTTACGTCCATTGCATGCAAGATCATGGAGCACATTATTCACAGCAGAGTCATGGACAGGAACCAGATCCTGCGAGAGGAGCAACATGGCTTTCGTTCACAACGATCCTGTGAAACCCAGTTACTCATGACCTTGGATGCGTTGGCTCGTAACCAGGTCCAGGGCTGCCAAACCGATGTTATCCTATTGGACTTCGCAAAGGCTTTCGACAAGGTTCCTCATAAGAGACTACTGAAGAAGCTAGACTTCTATGGAGTGAGAGGCACTATCCTGCAGCGGATCAAGGATTTCCTATCCAAACTGATACAATCTGTTGTATTGGACGTCGATAATTCATGTCCACTGGATGTCATCTCAGGGGTCACCCAGGGGACAGTACGCGGTCCACTTCTTTTCCAGGCCTGTATCAACGACCTGCCTGAGTCAACATCATCAGACGTCATGTTATTTGCAGACGACTGTCTCCTGTTTTGCTGCATTAGAACACAACGCAACGCCCAGACATTACAGAATGACATCACCTCACTAGAAGAGTGGGAGGAAAAATGGCAGATGCATTTCAATCCTGAGAAGTGCATTGTCATAAGGATCTCGGGCAGGAGACAGCAGTTACCAACATCCTAAACCCTGCATGGACACCAGTACGAAGTTGTTGATAGCGGAAAGAGTACCTGGAAGGACCTCACCTGGAACAAGCACATTGACCAGTGTGTTGGCAAGACATCACGGACACTTGGATTCCTCAGAAGGAACGTCGAGAGGTGTACCCCGAGATTTAAGATTTAAGACCAACATGTACTGCACCCTTGCCAGGCCGAACCTGGAGTACGCAGCATCAGTGTGGGATCCACACCAAGCTGCCCTTGTCGCAGAAATGGAACAGGTCCAACGACGTGCTGCCCGCTTTGTCTACAACGACTAATATTCCAGGACTCGCGGATGTGTTACAGCCATGATAGAACGTCTAGGATGGGAATCTCTACAACAACGGCGATCCAAACAGAGACTCATCACATGCTATAAGGTCATGCACAAACTAGTCAATGTTGACCCTGTCCCTTATTACCAGGCAAGTGACAGCCGAACAAGAGGACAGCAAAGACTACGACAGAGGAGAGTGAACAAGGAAGTCTACCAGTATTCCTCCCCCCCCCTCCCCCAGATCCACCAGGGAATGGTATAAACTCTCAGAAGAGGTAGCAACATCAGCTACACTGGATGAGTTTAGGGTCAAGCTGAACGCCATTGCTTGACCGCTCAGCATCCGGTAGACTAGCAACCTCCGATCCTGTATATAGTTTTAACATCACTGTTTTTAAACATTTGGGGAAGCCTCCTGTTTTATCAATCATGCGCTGAGTCAATTTACACTCCAGTATTAGGAGATAGACTCAATACAGGAAAAACCTGGTGACTGCCCCACGTAGGTCTGGAACAAGCTAACCATCATTTCTTAATGGAATTTTTGGAGGACCTTTATTGAATGATGGAAACAGTTTTTATTAAGTTATTTAATATCTCAAGGCATCAGACAGTGTAATTGTCATTCCATAAGAGGCACTTACATAATATCTTGAGTTATAATTAAATGATTGTTGCATAAACCACAAACTTGATGACACGGTTAATTACCGTTATAGCTTGAACGAGTTCATTTACAGCCATTACCTGACGGTACTTTTTGGTGTTATCATCCTCCACAGAATGGTAGAAACGGTGTCTCCTCTATAACTATAGCATTAACCTATGTCTAATTTGGCAATAAGTTATAATTAGTTTACTTTCTACGAAAGCCTGAACAATTTTGGTGACAGCCATTATCATTCAGTGATTGTTGTAGTTACCAGGTATTTCCCTTTATGGAAACTGGAAGAAGAAAGTTGAAGATCGTGAATAGGACTGGTGGAAGCAGGAAAGAAGGAAAGAACGAGCGAGAGCAAGAATATTTGTATCGAACCCGTTTCAATCCACATCCAAATTGCATGGAAAGAGGACATCTGGAAGGCTGCAGAATTAGCTGGATGGAGTAAATGCTAATTGCAGTGATCGAAGGAGGAAAAAGGATCTGGGAGAGTGCGGAAAGCTGGCATCACCAGGACCACCAGTGGAGCTATTTGATGAGATAGAACCAACCTGGAAATTTTAAGAGGCGAATGAAGTGATCAGAAAGGCAAGATCAACATCAGCCTATCAACCAAATGCAATACCGTATAACGTATATACAAGAACTGTCACAGGGTTATAAAGAGGCTGTGGAGGATGTTGATAGTAATATGGCAAAGGGGGAAATTGGTGAAGCATTGGTATTCTGCGGAATGTTGCTTCATTCTGAAGAATAATGGTGGCAATATATTTGGAATAAAGAATCACATTCAGCAATAAGTACTTTGATATTGCTGTTCAAAAGGGAGGAGTTCCTGGAATATCGGGCTGTCTGGAACATACCAGCGTGATATCAGAGATCATAAGAGATGTCAGGTAGAACAAAGGAGAACTATCTATGGTTTGGCTTCACCTGGCAAACGCTTATGGATCAGTGCCACACAAACTGGTGGACTTAAAGCTGGAAAGATACTATATTCCATGGAAGTTCAGAGAGAAATTAAGGGGATATCTTGACAAGCGTCGACTGAGGTTCACAGTAGATGGCCAAGAGACGAAATGGCAGAGACTTGAGGTTGGGATAGTGACCGGCTGTACTTTCTGAGCAACTCTTTTTGCAGCAGCGAGGAAGTTATTGTCAAATTATTTGAGAAGATGGACAGAGGACCTTACTTGTCAACAGGGACAAAGCAACAACCAACACGGGCCTTTGTGGATGATATGACATTAACAACAAAACGGTCAGCGAAGGAAGATGTTTACGGAGAGACCTGGAGGAGATGTTCCATTGGGCAGGAATTCAGTTCAAACCAGAGAAATCAAGGAGTATGGTGCTGACTTGCAAATGCACTATTTCAGCAAATAAAGTTTAAGGTCCAAGGGGAAGAGATACCAATAGTGACTGAGAAACCAGCAAAAACGTTTAGGGAAATGGTATGACGACACGCTCAAGAACCATATGACAACGCGAGGAAGTTGAAGACACAAACAGAAGACTGGACGAGTGCCGTAGATAAGCTGCCAGGAAAGTATAAAGCTTGGATGTATCATTACAGAGGGCGTCTGTGGCCTTTGCTGATGGTATACATCTCAATACTCATATGAAATTTCATTGGGATCCAATGTTTAGTTTCTGAGAAAATGTGCAGAAAAGTTCACTGTCTACATAGATGTTATCACATTATAATGATCACGATACAAAACAATGACTGATAAAGCTGAGGGACAGGGACACTAAATCACTTCTCAGCACATGCATGCTTTTTTTCGTTAACGTTTATTTCACATAAAATGTTATACACAAAATAAGCATTTGTTGGGCATATAACATATAAACAACTTCTTTTGAATAATCAAAAGTACCATCATGATGATGTTTTGCTAGTAGCATGCTGAGATGAAGAGCTATCAAATTTGCTCAAATGAATGTCACAGGGGTCAAATATGTTAAAAACCTTGAACAACTTCTTCGGGAAGAAGAATTAAATTAAGGAGGTAAAAACAGTAAGCCCCCGAATTTTGTTTTGGAGACTTTATAATTGATCAATTATGGACTGTTGTTGAAGTAAATATGTGGTTATATGGACCTGAGCCATTTGTGTCGGTTAATTGTCACTTTCTCAGGTTTATATAACCACATATTAACCTCACCCAATTCCATAGTTGATATATTTATTTATAATATCACATGTTGCACTGTGTTATCCAGTGACTATACCCATGTCATGTCTTTTTGCGTATTAAACCATGTCAATATGACCCATCAGCCCTGTGATTGGTTGTAAGTTTCAATTGTTTCAATTGTGACGTCATGGCTATGACAAGAACATGACGTCACATACAAAGTGGTGACGTTTTATATTTAAGGGTTGCACGAAGATTGTCGTTTTACACGAATTAATGCCACAAATCTTGATAATGTGATAAAAAGGATCTTACACTCGTTTTCATTTCATATGAAATTTATGAAACGAGTCTTCGAATTTTTCAATTTAGCGAGCCTCTGGCATGAAATGGAAACTCATGTAAGATCCTATAAATATAAGATGCTAAATGGTGTTTTAGAGGAAAGAAGTGCATTTGCCATAAAATATTGTGACGTCACATTTGCAATGACGTCATAACATCAATATCACATATAACTGACGTCAACGTGATTATCATCCAACCAATGAGGATATGTAGGGACATTTGTATCATCTAATTTACATATATATTGATCTATCCACTTAACATATTAAAATGTGTCATTTGTGGTTATCCTTTATTATATCCTGATATTAGGGAATGCCCAAACATTCGGCAGACTCTTTAACGCGCTTTTGTTTTACAATGTCATTGCTTATCATTCAAACATTCAGATGAGTTTGTGTCCTTCCCGGAACACCCCGGATGTTATCATTTCGTGTATCGTAATCATGTGATGCAAGACGATGAAAACTGAGTGACAGGTTGATTGTTCTTTAATCCAATACAAACTCAAGATGAAGAAAAAGGTAAATTAATTAATCACTACAGCGTTTATTATATTATATAAGGTATGCTTATCAAGGCGTTCCCGACAAATGAAATTAATTTGCACGGCAATTACACTACAGCGCAGTACACAAACGTGTGCAAAATCATAACCTAACACAATAACAGTTTATCTAAACTGTATGAAAATTTAACCCATATACTTAAAAAACATTAATTCTATGCAGTTACATTGATATAACGTCAAACTCCTCTGACAACAATGGACATAGTTTTACACCGGGATACCGGTGGGGTTGGTTCAAGCTTTCCTCGATACTCCAGGGGTTACGCTCACTTTCGCTTTCTGCATCCCTGTAATATGTCGTAGAAAAAATTCAAGCACACGGCTAGCTATTTGATTGGTCTCGGGTACAAAAATCTGACAAATCGCTAGTCTGAAACATGTCCGTTGAATATTACAGAAGCGCGACACCCAACTTCAAAGCAAATCTACTGTTAGGCGACCGAGAGATTCTTTAGATGTACATTAAACACAAAAACCCATATTTCTGTATTAGGCCTGATCCTGTAGTTGCACACCTGATATTTATATTTCAGGTTTGACATCATTTTTTAAGAGTTATTGCCCTTTTCTTTCATGCCCTGTCCAGATAAATTTTCCAAAATCATGTGATCAGTTACAAGGAATCCTTTTGAGAGTGATACATTTTAAGGGGGATTCAGGATGGACACCATGGCTTCTGATTGGCAGCGAGTGAGACAGTATTGGTTAGGGTTTGGTTAAGTATTGTTTAACGTCCTATCAACAGCTATGGTCATTTAAGGATGGCCTCCCCTGTGTGCAAGATACTGGGAGGCTGCGATATGTTGATGTTTGTCTCCTAGTGATATCCAGAACTGATGCTGACTTTATAGTGCTACCTCACTGAAACATACTGCCAAAGACACGACAGTCTTTTTTTTTAGCTCACTCCGTCTTCGCCTGTCGTCGTGCGCCGTGTGTTACCTTCAATCTTGTGAGCACGTTAACTTTGGTAAAAGTGAATGGATTTCGATAAATTTATATCAATAAGATCTCTGACACGTACGAAAATGGTCCAGATCAGACAATAAATGGCAGAGTTATGGGACTTTGAAATTTTAATTACTATTGGAGCCTAGCTATGGGACTTGAGCTTGTGAGCATAATAACTTTAGTAAAAGTGAACAGATTTTGATAAATTTTGCTATGATGCTTTTAACTCAATAAGATCTCAAACCAGTTCGAAAGTGGTCCTAATCAGACAGTAACTGGCAGAGTAATGGGAATTTGGAATTTTGATTACTATTGGAGCCTATAGGACTTAAGTAAATCCTGTCCACTGATTTGCTGAGACGAGAAATTTTCGACTTCTCAAGATTATCTACAGCAATTCACTCCTTTATTAGTACAAATGTTACTTATGAGGTTCCAAAAAAGTATTCCTACTTTTTGTGCTGATCATAAAATTCAAGATGATCACCCCGACCTCTCATTGACTGAGATGTTTTTGACTTCTTCTCAAGAGGGGCATCACCGATTGACTTCTAACTTAGTGGAAGTGTTCCTTATGAGGTTTCAACCAAGTTTGTTTCTTTTCATGCTGGTTGTAAAATTCCAGATGGCCACCCTGGCCTCTGATTGGCTAGGACATTTACAACTTTATCTGTGCATAATCCATTAAACGTATCATCTAATTCATCTATACAGCATGTGTATGCCTGGTCTCCAGGTTAGTGTGGGTGCATGCCCTCTCTCCAAAGTAACTTTGTGCTAATTTTAAACTTAAGAATTTACTCAGGTGACCGTTTAGGCCCATGGTCCTCTTATTTGTAGAATTAATGCATAGGGGATATACTGCCGACTTTTAAGTTTCGGGAATTGAGGAGGCCGCTGCAGCCTCTGATTGACTGAGATACCAACATCAATGGTTGAGTGGTTTCGGTATTAGTATGCCTGTGTCATACAGTTCTGGTTTAAGCAGACTAAATATAATGACTACACCTTTTGCCTTGTTGGATTAGTTTAAAATATATTACTCATGCAAGTTGGTCAGGGTCATTCATTTTGACAAACTTGCTATTGACAGCCCTTCACATCAGTATGCTACCACATGTATTCAACTATCATTTCCCAATGTCTTTAATAGTTATTCTTCAGATTTTTTTCAAAGAATAAACCTTGAAGTAAGGTAAAGGTCATTCACAGAATTTCCATTAACCCCCATATATATATGGCTTAATTGTTGCCCTGAAACAGCCATCACAATCACTGCCGTCAGAGACTGAATCCTTTTTGTGTGTCCCAAAATCTCATACTGTGACCTACGGAAACTAACCATCTGCTACCAGGCAGTCAAAAGCTCTGGCATATGGAGATAATTGTCTTGTTACCTAATGTAAAATGCTGATTTGTATGCCTTTTTGATCTACTATATTTATAAATGTCACTATAGGAATACTATTATTCATGTGTTGTAAAGCGCCTTAGAGTAATTTTGTAAATTATATAGGTTGCTGTATAAATGTTGTCTATTATTTTATCACATAATGTACTGTGTTATCCAGTGAATATACCAGTACCAATGTCATATTTTTTTTAATATTAACCCCTGTAATATGACCTATCAGCCCTGTGATTGGTTGCAAGTTTCAATTGTTTGACTTTCAATTGTGACGTCACGCCTAGGACAAGTACATGACGTCACAGACTGGCTTTTTACATTTCAAGGTTGCATGAAAATTGCTGTTTACAGGAAGGAATGCCACAAATCTTGCTAATGTGATAAAAAGGATCTTACACTCATTTGCATTTCATATGAAATTTATGAAACTTGTCACGAATTTTTCATTCGAGCTCACCAGAGGCTCGCTAAATAGAAAAATTCTTAGACTCGTTTCATAAATCTTGTATGAAATGGAAACTCATGTAAGATCCTATATATATATATTGTTATATTATTATATATGTTATGTGATACACTTGTCACTTTCCACAGGTGCTACTCATGGGGAAGAGTGGGTCAGGGAAGACCAGCATGAGATCCATTATCTTCGCCAACTACATAGCCAGAGACACTCGCAGGCTTGGAGCTACCAGTAAGTCTAAACTCAATATTTAACGACTGATTAAATCATAATGAAGATACATTGAAAACACGTTGGGCGCCATTTGTAACAGAGGTCATTATATTGCAAATGCCTCCGCTAGGAGTCGAAACCCTGAACCTCTTGTTTACTAGAATTATTCACTACCGAATGAGCTTAAGAGAAATTCTCCCTAGCCGAGTCGGTAGAAAGCGGCTAGTATTTTACCAGGGTGACCGTCATTATTTTGTACTGTGATAAATATACATGTATATGAGTTCCAAGTCCTATATCATAGATTTTTGATGGGACTCTTAGAATTTCTAGAATTACTCAAATTTAACATTGTGGAACCCATTGTATAGGAATACAGTTGAAAAGGACCAATGAAAATAAATCAATCACTGTTTATTTTATTATGAGACATTGTTAACCCTTTTACCGCTGTAGACCATAATTGACTCATCCAGATAAATGTATGGTAGAGTCTACTCAAGTTACCAAGGGGTGAAAGGGTTAAAGAAAAACACTAAGTTTTGATATATTTCTTGTGGGAAAAAGGAATTATTAATCTAACTATGCATTGATCTTTTTCGTGCTAAAAAAATATCTTGTTTATTTCGATTTTGTGTTATTAATTTTCAGATTTTATGTAATTTATAGTTGTATCAGTATACTTATGCTTATTTGTTTTTAAATTCACAGTTGATGTGGAGCATTCTCATGTCCGCTTTCTTGGAAATCTTGTCCTAAATTTGTGGGATTGTGGAGGGTAAGTAACTCCAGTTTTATGGAATATCTGAATTCAATAAATTCAGATTAATTTTAATAGCTTGACTCTGGGATCAATCTAGACTTGATTCACTACCGTTTGTAGGTACAGAAGAAAATTCTTTTGTTCTTTGAAATTTCCCCCCAATGTGCTTCAAAATTCCCCTATTTCAACAAGAGACAAACAAATTTTCCCTATATATGTTTTCTTTAAAGTTCAACAGTTAAAATGCACTATACTGCATTAATGACATTATATATACATTTTCTTCACATAATTTCACCAAAAAAAATCCACAATTTTAAGCTTAAAATTGTTTATAAATTGAAATATACTGCACACATGTATGTCGCACAAAATATTTGTCTTTTGCCCTCATGACGTTAGCTCCTAGTATCAAAATTTTTATTTCCCCCAAATCTGAAAAAGGGTAGATTCCCCTAAAAAACTTAGATTGATTGGTTTAAAGAGTTTTTTCCAAACTGTGTACTCAAAATATTTTCAAAATTTTGATTTTTTTTGTCAGTCAAGAGGCATTTATGGAAAGCTACTTCGCCAGTCAGCGTGATAATATTTTCCGCAATGTTGAGGTCCTGATCTATGTATTTGATGTGGAGAGTCGAGAGCTGGAGAAAGACATGCATTACTATCAGTCATGCCTGGAGGCCATCCTTCAGAATTCACCCGACTCTAAAGTTTTCTGCCTCGTACACAAGATGGACCTCGTGCAAGACGATCAGCGTGACTTTGTAAGTCTGAAATAGGTTAAAACAGCACTGTGTGCTATTAACATGTTAACCGTTATTTTTGCGTGTAGAAAATCTAGAACTGGAAATATCTTGTTTAAAAACGAAGGTCATCATGGTCAGAGAAGAATCATTTGTTATAAAAATGAAATGATCTAATATTCTGTTCGAACATGAGTAAGACTATTCTGCACTGGTTGCCCCTGGTATATTAGTGAGAGTTAATGCTCTTTGAATTCGCAAGCACAATATTATTATTGTTTTATCACGAATTGCTACAACACCCTTCTAAGTAGACTAGTTCGAAAAGGACTAAAAGAAGTCCATGTAAGTACACCAGCCAAGAAGAAATATGTACATAAATATTTGTATATTGATTAATCCTAATACTGTACATGAATTTATAAACCATATGTTGTATGTATGAACTGTTTTAAACATTTTTGCATTGCATTCGGTATGCACATGATACCTAAACCAAAATATTTTTGCATTGCACTATTACTCTACAGATTTAAAACAATATTTGTGGAATATTTTAATTGACAGTGGAAAGAGACTGAGTAAATATACACAAAGCAAAATTAGATAATGGAGATGGGGCTTTTTACGCGACAATGATATATCACATTTTTTAAAATTGAAATCAGGAAGATATTTCTCATTTTTTCTTCATTTTGGAAAAAATAAAGCGCTTTTTTTGCTAAGAGGCAGCCCTATATTCGGCAGTAATACTGGCCCTAAAAAATCACTGATTTGTTGACATGCAATAGATATGGGTGGGCTTACCGCCAGATATGGGGATTTTGCTGGAAAAATATGATCACATATATATGTGTAATAGGAAGTAAAAAATCAAGCTTACATTTAAACGAAAACTTTTTGTATTTTCAGATATTTCGGGAGAGGGAGGAAGATCTCAAGCGACTTTCAAAGCCACTAGACTGTACATGCTTTGCCACAAGTATTTGGGATGAAACTCTGTACAAGGTAACAATTTTGACATTCGATTCACTCCTTAAAATTATTCAAAACTCATTACCAAAGTCATTGGAAGTGATACAGGTAACAGTTTTTGACGTCAGATTCACTCTTTCAAATGATTCAGAACTCATTACCACAGTCACGTGAAGTCGTACAAGTTAACCATGTAATTATTTTTGGTGTACAATTTACTCCTTTATATCATTCAAAGCTCATTACCAAAATTTTTTGGAAGTTGAAAATTTTTGAGTTCAAAAAAGTTGTAAAATTCATTGATCCCCCTCAGTACATGCCATTGATCCCCCTCAGTACATGCCATTGATCCCCCTCAGTACATGCCATTGATCCCCCTCAGTACATGCCATTGATCCCCCTCAGTACATGCCATTGATCCCCCTCAGTACATGCCATTGATCCCCCTCAGTACATGCCATTGATCCCCCTCAGTACATGCCATTGATCCCCCTCAGTACATGCCATTGATCCCCCTCAGTACATGCCATTGATCCCCCTCAGTACATGCCATTGATCCCCCTCAGTACATGCCATTGATCCCCCTCAGTACATGCCATTGATCCCCCTCAGTACATGCCATTGATCCCCCTCAGTACATGCCATTGATCCCCCTCAGTACATGCCATTGATCCCCCTCAGTACATGTCATTGATCCCCCTCAGTACATGTCATTGATCCCCCTCAGTACATGCCATTGATCCCCCTCAGTACATGCCATTGATCCCCCTCAGTACATGCCATTGATCCCCCTCAGTACATGCCATTGATCCCCCTCAGTACATGCCATTGATCCCCCTCAGTACATGCCATTGATCCCCCTCAGTACATGCCATTGATCCCCCTCAGTACATGCCATTGATCCCCCTCAGTACATGCCATTGATCCCCCTCAGTACATGCCATTGATCCCCCTCAGTACATGCCATTGATCCCCCTCAGTACATGCCATTGATCCCCCTCAGTACATGCCATTGATCCCCCTCAGTACATGCCATTGATCCCCCTCAGTACATGCCATTGATCCCCCTCAGTACATGCCATTGATCCCCCTCAGTACATGCCATTGATCCCCCTCAGTACATGCCATTGATCCCCCTCAGTACATGCCATTGATCCCCCTCAGTACATGCCATTGATCCCCCTCAGTACATGCCATTGATCCCCCTCAGTACATGCCATTGATCCCCCTCAGTACATGCCATTGATCCCCCTCAGTACATGCCATTGATCCCCCTCAGTACATGCCATTGATCCCCCTCAGTACATGCCATTGATCCCCCTCAGTACATGCCATTGATCCCCCTCAGTACATGCCATTGATCCCCCTCAGTACATGCCATTGATCCCCCTCAGTACATGCCATTGATCCCCCTCAGTACATGCCATTGATCCCCCTCAGTACATGCCATTGATCCCCCTCAGTACATGCCATTGATCCCCCTCAGTACATGCCATTGATCCCCCTCAGTACATGCCATTGATCCCCCTCAGTACATGCCATTGATCCCCCTCAGTACATGCCATTGATCCCCCTCAGTACATGCCATTGATCCCCCTCAGTACATGCCATTGATCCCCCTCAGTACATGCCATTGATCCCCCTCAGTACATGCCATTGATCCCCCTCAGTACATGCCATTGATCCCCCTCAGTACATGCCATTGATCCCCCTCAGTACATGCCATTGATCCCCCTCAGTACATGCCATTGATCCCCCTCAGTACATGCCATTGATCCCCCTCAGTACATGCCATTGATCCCCCTCAGTACATGCCATTGATCCCCCTCAGTACATGCCATTGATCCCCCTCAGTACATGCCATTGATCCCCCTCAGTACATGCCATTGATCCCCCTCAGTACATGCCATTGATCCCCCTCAGTACATGCCATTGATCCCCCTCAGTACATGCCATTTTGAAGCACAGCTGTACATGTAATCAGTAGTAAAACTCATTGTATGTTAATCCTCATTCAACCAAAACATGATAAAGAAGCTAAGTGGCGATATAACACGATGTAAACAATTCTTTTGACAGGCTTGGTCCAACATTGTGTACCAGCTCATCCCAAACGTACAACAGATCGAAAGCAACTTGGCAAATTTCGCCAACATCATTGAGGCAGATGAAGTGCTGCTGTTTGAAAAGGCTACATTTCTGGTATAATATACTTGATCTATCTGGGATGCTTTTAATTTATTTTTGTAGCTTTAATATTTCATTGCAAAAGTAACGTTCAAGAAAGACTTGTTTGGACTAGGACTTTTTTCACCAAAAGTAAAGTGTACCATGCATGTTATCTGTCAGCTTACATATCCTTGTGACTCCAACTTATGGTAGGGCTAGATTTTTGACAGAATCCTTTGAAATTTAAATATATACATATGAATAAATATGAAGATTCACATATCATAAAATGGGAATAGACAGATTTTTTGAAGAAAAAATATGGGCAAGGGGAGATAATCTATATTTTGTGAACAGTTATTCCAACAAGAAACAAAAGAACCTTGCCTTATTTCTGGCCAGTGAAGCAAAAATATTTTTTCTCAGATTTACACATCCTAGAAATAATTCACTTTCCTGAGTAATAAAGTACAAATGTAATATCAATGCATCTGGGCATAAGTGCTTACAAAAGTTGAGAAATCAAATTAAGTTGGATGAACTTAAGAAAATTGGATTTTTTTGTTTCATGGTGGCTCTGCTAACGTGTTACAGGTCATTTCACACTGTGAGCGGAAACAGCACAAAGATGTCCACCGGTTCGAGAAGATCAGTAACATTATAAAACAGTTCAAACTAAGCTGTAGTAAGCTTGCCGCCAATTTCCAGAGCATGGAAGTGCATAACTCGGCCTTCTCTGCCTTCATAGAGGGCTTCACCTCCAACACATACGTCATGGTGGTTATGTCGGATGGATCCATACGTAAGTCTGTGTTCAGATTCATAATTCATTAACTGGGTGGTCGGGTAGCTCAGTGGGCAGCGCACTTGCCTTTCACCAAGTCGACCGGGGTTCAATTCCCTGATCGAACGTGAAAAGGTATGGGGTCACCTGCCCGACCACGTGGGTTTTCTCTGGGTACTCCGGTTTCCTCCCACACTAATATCCCCCACGTGCTAACATTCGAGCCAACAAGAGTGATTAATATAAGTTGATATAACTTGTTTCATAATTGTAAAATAAATTAGGTTTATATTTATATAATTCATTAACTCATTCACTCCTGAAATATCATAATGAACTACTCCAGCATTTGAACTGGAAGAGTCCAAATATGTCTTCAGGGGTGAATGAGTTGAAATAACCAAGTACACAAAAAGCAGGATCCACTATGTATTGTGTCTAATTAAGTCAACAAAAATAGGAATCAAATGTTTCTGTTGGTGAGAACCATACACAATTTGTTCAAAATAGCAAAGTCAACGGAGAAAGGGATCCAATTTGTAAGATACCTTCGGATAGAACTTTACACATCCCATAAATATAGCCATACCATCAGAGGGATCAGAAATATAGATTACTATTTGACAGAAATATGATTAATAATAATCCATACACTTTGCAATAATACCCATAGCCTTTCATGAGGTCATTTTCTTTATTGAAATGAAAAAAAAACTGTAGAGTGGCTTCCATATAGTGAAGCTGTGAAAATCCTTCCGTCTTCGTTCCCAGCATGTAAACCTTCAATATTTCGTTGATTAATGCGACAGAGATTTGACATTTTACGCTTGAGCATTGTCATTGAACAGGGGAGGGATAGAGGTCCTAACAGGGATAACCTGTTATGTATTACGTGTGACATCAAAATGCAATTAAAATGATAGTCAAGCCAAGATTGTTTAAGAAAAATCAACTGCTTCCAAAGTACTTTATAAATGCTGCTACAATTTTGCAATTCATTAGTGCATGATATTTCAGTATAAATTACGTACTGCCAAGCAAACAATTGTCCTTGTGAAGTATAGGCAATATTGTTTTCTTCCACAGCTTCAGCGGCGACACTGATCAACATCAAAAATGCGAAAAAGCATTTTGAGAAATTGGAAAGGATGGAATCCAACCATCATTCGATCGCTGCCAGGTGAAGACTGACTGAGAAAAACGCAATGAATTCCAGTGTTGATATTACAAGTCAGTTGTCACGGAAACATATAATAGCTATTACAGGATGCGACGCATTCAAATCATACACAATGCTCACTTCATGGAACCTTATTATAATTCTATACAAAATGGTTTCTGATTGAAAACCTGTTAGTCTGGACAATTGGTTTCTCAGTGGAACCTTATAATTTTAGAAAAAACGGTTCTTCCAAGGAGACTGTATATTATGTATATAAAAAAAATATGTATATAAGAAAGTTGACCAAGATTTTGTGACAGAAAAACATTTAAATCTATGGAATGGTTGACTTTTTTCTGATATGGCTTTTTTTAATATTTTTGCCGTACATATCGGATTAAGAAATGGATGTTCTAAATATTAGGTAAGATATATATATATATATTATAGGCTGCATTTATGATGAAGCAAAGATTTTTTTTTTCATGGAATAAAAACTTTCAAATACTGATCCATGGATACAGGCTCCTGTTACACACTGTTCTTAAGTTTAAATTATGATTTACTAAATTTAAGGATCCCTGTCCAACTGCAGACAATACACAAGAGAATTCCTCAAATGTAGTTTCATGTACAAATGTGTCACCTCCCTTTAATTTTGTTTTGGACACAAATGAGTGTGACTGTGCCGGAGTTCAATTTACCAGGGCCTGTTTCACGTTTATGTGGAAAAACTGGTTTGTCTGTTTTCAAATGTAATGTTTTCGGGTTTAAAACCTTGCAGACCTGAAAATATATATGCAGTCCATGCAAGGCTTTGTCAAGGCTTGTCTGAAAGCAGCATCAGATTAATAGGTTCGACCTTTTTTTCATAAATGAATGACTCTGGCCCAACCAGTTCAGCCGTTTGAATCGTGATAAACGAAAGTGGCCCTGGTAGCTCAGCTGGTTATGTCAACCATATACAGCACACCCACGGAGTTACATTATGTTACAGCAGTACAGGGATCTTTAAGCATTGCTTTTCAATGGAGAGTTGAAAACTGCGGGAAATTATGAAACTAAAGCCTGGTAATGTGACATTGAATTTTCAGAATGTATATACATTGTACATATGTATTGATGATATTGTTGTATTATACACTCCACTTTATAAATACATTGTAATATGACAAATATCTTGGACCTACGGTGTCATGGAGAATTCAGAATACATATATTTAAAGAAATGTAAAAATCAGTATTTTGAATCAAGAGTGCTGAAATATCAAGGTACTGATGTTGTGAGCTGTTTAACTCATTCACCCCTGAAGTTTCATAATGAACTATTCCAACCTTTGAATTGGAAGAGTTCAAATGTGTCTGCAGGGGTGAATGAGTTAAGTTTGATCCGGTTTGATCCCTCCTGTCGGCTACTGTGCGCAATGGTATAGGATATGACAGCACTGTGCCAGAGGTCAAGTTCTAGTGACCTTCCATTATTTAAGCCAATCAGAGTGATTCCCTCCAAATTGACGTTGTTGGAAACCACAATGTATATATATGTCAGCAGAAGATTACCCAACAGGGATGTACAGGTTCCCTGACACCAAGGACTAGTACATTCTATGTTGGAGGCTAGAACAAATTTTCAATATTTACTATAAAAATATATAGACTGGGCAAAAAGTATTGGTCAAAATCAGCCTGCAGTCTAGCACTCTGAAAATTAAATTGTACATCTCTGAAACTCATGCAGCTTTTTCAAATTCACATTATAGTGTATGGGAGAAGAGTCAGAGTGAAGGATTTTTGTTTTAATCACATTGAATTTGAGCCGATTTTTTTTAAAGATTTCTTGGAAATGATAGCATATGAAATGCACTTGATATATTATTTAATTTGTAGATGTCGTAAGTTTATGAAGCATTTGCTTTGATACGCAGATTAAAATTATTTATCATGTACATTATTAGACCTTATACAATGTAACTCTAAAGGTTAGTCCTGTATCATGTGATCCTCCTTAGGACAAGGAAGTTCTGTATCACATGGTCCTGTGGCCATGATGACCTTAGGACAAGGAAGTCCTGTATCACATGGTACTGTGGTGACCTTAGGACAAGGAAGTCCTGTATCACATGGTCCTGTGGTGACCTTAGGACAAGGAAGTTCTGTATCACATGGTCCTGTGATGACCTTAGGACTAGTAAGTCCTGTATCACATGGTCCAGTGGCCATGGTGACCTTAGGACAATGAAGTCCTCCATCACATGGTCCAGTGGCCATGGTGACCTTAGGACAAGGAAGTTCTGTATCACATGGTCCAGTGGCCATGATGACATTAGGACAATGAAGTCCTCCATCACATGGTCCAGTGATGACCTTAGGACTAGTAAGTCCTGTATCACATGCTCTAGTGGTCACGGTGACCTTAGGACAATGAAGTCCTCCTTCACATGGTCCAGTGGCCATGGTGACCTTAGGACAATGAAGTCCTCCTTCACATGGTCCAGTGGCCATGGTGACATTAGGACAAGGAAGTTCTGTATCACATGGTCCTGTGATGACCTTAGGACTAGTAAGTCCTGTATCACATGCTCTAGTGGTCATGGTGACCTTAGGACAATGAAGTCCTCCTTCACATGGTCCAGTGGCCATGGTGACCTTAGGACAAGGAAGTTCTGTATCACATGGTCCTGTGATGACCTTAGGACTAGTAAGTCCTGTATCACATGCTCTAGTGGTCATGGTGGCCTTAGGACAATGAAGTCCTCCTTCACATGGTCCAGTGGCCATGGTGACCTTAGGACAATGAAGTTCTGTGTCACATGGTCCAGTGGCCATGATGACCTTAGGACAATGAAGTCCTCCATCACATGGTCCTGGGGTGACCTTAGGACAAGGAAGTTCTGTATCACATGGTCCTATGTTGACCTTAGGACAAGGAAGTTCTGTATCACATGGTCCTGTGGTGACCTTAGGACATTCTGTATCACATGGTCCTGTGTTCACCTTAGGACTAGGAAGTGAGTCTAGGGTGACCTTACAACTCTAAGGAGGTCTGCATCATATGATCCTGTGACCAGACAGTTGTCACACGACCCAATGGTCTACATATTTTGAAAAACATGTCATACATGATATGTGTTTTAAAAAAACTTGTACGTGATTATGAAAAAAGTTTTGGTATTCTGTAAAAATATTAAGATGTCAATACTGGTATATAAAGAGACATGCTATTTTTCCACCTTTGCATAAAGTTTGTACAGAATTATGTAGGTTATTTGTTATTGTACGATCACCGGTGGTATTCAGTGTTTCTTAGCTTAAAAACACACTGAGAAAAAATAAACATGTTCATTATTATAAAGAATAGATTTCCACTGATTTTTCATTATTTTCAAGCATTATAATCACACTTTCGATGTTGTTAGAAATGAAATATTATACCAGGGCCATGCTATTTCTATGTGTGGATACAAAATGAATCAATTTCAACATAGGTACAGGTTTACATGTAATGTAAACTAATTGACATGTACAGTAAATGTATTAATACATGTTCCTTTTAAAATTCAATCAGCTGAACAATTTTCAAATAAATGCTAGGTTAACTATGGGCTCCTACTAATCCAGACTATTTCATTTGATCCTGTGAATAAGATCTCATCAGTGATGATATCTAGAAATATTTTATTTTATTTTGATAATACTGAAATAATCATAACTGTATGATCTTTGCAATAATGAAATACATGTTTAGATGGAATATCAAATGGAACCTCTTTTAAAATGATAAATCTGCTGAAAAGCAGCATTTTCAGGGATTCAAAATGATGACCATGTGTTGTATGAAATTTATTTTTATTTATTTTTTATTCAACTTTTGTCATCGAGTTAAAAATGCTGAATACTCCTGGAATCAGATAAAATTGTTCTCAATGTAGAATTGAAGTATTCACAAGTCTAGCTTGTTATAGTATGTTGTTTTTGTTACAGTTTAAAGAAAAAGCAGCATTGTATTATTGTATATGCACTATAGAAATGAATATGAATTAATATTTGGGTAACTACTTGGCCCAAAATCCAGAAAATTTAAATTGATTGACAGATTGGTTTTCTGTGGGAAAGAGGCGGTTTATTTCAAGATGATTTATTTGATTTTTTGTTTGATAATTATTAGAAAGAAAATAATTTGTTACGATGTACTAGTGTTTGCAGAATCCTTATATTTACCTGTCTGTACTCGGAATGTTAAATACATTATCAAATTATTATAATTCTTATGAAAATACCTTATGTTTTGAATGCATAAATTTTGACATTTGTTTTAGAATATCTATGAAGGTTGAGAATTGTTTTAAAAAGGTAAAGCAAAATGGTAAAGACACTTCGGTAATGTATAGCAGACAATTAGATTATAGCGAACTTGTCATCAATTATGATCAGGATGCTACCATTTACATTAATTATTAATCAAATGTCCTGCATCGCTAGTTTTTATGCTTCATATTAATTTACTTTTGTACTAGTTAGAGATGCCAACAGCTTCAGTTTACTCTGCTTACACTTATAATGATGTGAGAGAAAAAAAGGAAAGTTCAATGAATGTGACATTTTCTATCGAAGATATTTCCAAATAAAATGTGGATTTGTATATTTGCTCTAGATTTTTGTCTTATTTTCCTTTTAACCGTAACTTGAATGAGTTAACTGGTGACCAAGACCAGTCAGTTTGAGCTTCCATCCGAGTTTGTAGGTTCCTGGTTTGAATCCAAGTCTAGTCAGTGTCTGTTGCAATTGGCATATCCTATCCTGTTACAAGTAGGTGCCTGCAATCAACCCTTGTTACATGAGCTGTATGCACTCGGAAAGGAGATACAGAAACCTGGCTTATGAATAACGTCTTTGGAGTGTCTTTGACCTTGAAAATATTATCTCATCTTTTAAGCGTGCTCTACACTATAGAGATTAATGCCGGGAATATTCATGAAATATGGTTGAAATTTCAGTCAGGAATTTGCAGACAAACTTAAGGAGACATGGTAGTCTAGTGGTAGGATGCCGGGCTTGTGACGGAAGGGTTGCGGGTTCGACTCCAGCACGGCACTGTGTTGTATCTTTGAGCAAGATACTTCACTCCGCTTGTTCCAGTCTACTCGGCTGTAAATGAGTATGTGGTTTGGCAGTGCTAGAATTGTTGAATGCTAGCTGCGAGCGCCGAAATGGCAGCACCGGCTGTGTGCTCCCCAGGGAGTTGAGAAAGATAGTGGCTGGTTGGAAAAGGCCCTATAACCACAGATAATAATTTGTGAACCACTTTGAGAACTTCGAACTAGGTTGTGATAAAGTGGTATATAAGAACCTCTGTAGAGTGGTAAAACCATTTTGGACTCATACACAAGTACAAATCCCTATATTCCATCGACAACTTGTCATGTGCGGGTATGAGTTTCATTCCAATTTTCCACAACTTGTAATAGTGACTGACCATGGCATCCTTAAATACAAACTCATTAACATATCATTTTTCAAGTCTTTTTTACTGTTGGATTTACATGAAATCTCAATATAGTTACTAGTGGAAAGCAATTCAATTCTTCATTCCACTCCAAATAAAAAATAAATTGGATGGAAGAGAGCCTGAAAACGAAGGCAAAATGCTCTCCACCGATACACTATCAATACTGCTTTTGATTGTGAAGTTGAAATTGTTCTGCCGAAATGTTCCAAAATGGATTTTCATGCATTTGATACGATTTAAAAAATACTAGTCTTCATGAATGGATTTGATCCTAATTGAATCGTAGTCAAATATACCAACAGGCTTCAAATGACCTTGAGTCATGCTTATTTGGTTGTAGCATGCTGGGGGAATGACCTGGACTTTTCTAGGTCACAGGGGTGAGATGTATTAAAATGTAACTTTTCATCACTGTATACATAACCAGGTTAATGAGCCTCTGATGCACGATATTGCTGTTGAAAAAGATGTTGAAGCATATTATAATACACCTTGGCATTAATTTGCCTGTATGCATCTACAATTAAAATAATTCTAAACCATTTTTTTATTCAAAACATTTTATTTTTAAATATTCTTCATAAAGTCATTTATTGTAAAAAACAAAGTATATCAATGAATTAAATGCCAAGAAAGATCAATGTAAAATAATTGTATATATTCTACAAGATAAAACCTGTTGAAAATGTTGTGATCATTTACAACAATGTTTCAAGTAAAAGAGTACGGAAATGCATCTAAAATGTTTTATGGTCTATCCCATTGAAAACACTTTAGATTGAGAAATAATAAAAAGTTCGTCATAAATTTACTGAAAAAGAGGGATTCTAAAAATTAAAAATATTTGTTGTTATTTACATTGTATGTTCTTACTTGTGGTAGTATTATTTTGGAACCAAAATACTGTTCCCTTGACCAGTGTGTGTTTTGCTGTTATGAAACCACACCATTTTCCTTGCCAAACAGTTTTATGAGTTAATATAAGATTTTTATACCATCAGACCTGAACACCGAAACAATATTTTGGAAATAAAGTCTAACATTTGCAAAATTTGTGTAGCTATGTAAGAAATACCGGAGACTTTGAATAAGAAGTTTTAATGGGACTGAGACAACAAGGAATGAAAGAGGCAGAAAGAGGAAGATGAAGACAGACAGAATGGCACGGAAAGAGGATAGATATACACTGACAAGAATGAGAAATTCTTCCACCTCAGGATAGGTTCATTATATACAGAAAGCTGGTGAAGTGATGTATGACACATTATCTCCACAAAAGCTGAAATTAGTTCTTCACAAATAGAAAGTGAAGTTGATTCACTCATACCCGGTAAAAGTCTTACCCAAACTTCTACTTAACAGCTAAATTATCTGCTAAGTGAGACTCTTACCATTGTGTCCTAAAACATGGCACTTTCACAAATTAGACACCTAATACATGAACGACTACGACAAATCACACTCCCACTACATGATGGCATATCACCAAACAGTTGCAATATACACAGCGGACTACAACTAAATCAGACTCCTTATAGTTGAAATTATACAAACTTTAACTCATTCACCCGTGAAGACATATTTAAACTCTTCCAATTCAATGGTTGGAATAGTTCATTATAAAACTTCAGGGGTGAATGAGTTAATGTTAATTATTTCTCATGCTCACCCCCTGGTCAATGTAAAATACTCCACACTTGTCCTCATACGCAAGACTATTGAAACAAATATCTCTCATGTCCACACGGCACTTATTTCATACTTCTCCTTATGCATGGCAGACAACCACAAACAGTTCTCATATTCACAGACACGACACACCAGTTTTTTTTTTAACCCTTTCACCCCTATGTGACTTTAGTAGACTCTATCATTCATTGATCTGGGTGAGTCCATTCTTGTCCACAGAGGGTGAAAGGGTTAATGTTTTTACCCAGCCTTCCATTCTTGTCCCCAACACTTGACTTGACTGCCACAGTCAGACTCCATACTCTGGTTTATGTTATATCTCCATTCTTGTCCTAAAACATGATAATTTCAAAATACCACAATCCAGCTTTCGCACTCTGTTCACCTCAACTTCATCCCCAATTTTAAAAAAGGCCATAAAGTGCCACAAATAATTATGTTTCTGATTTTGGCTCCCAAAATATTAGGAAAATAATATAAGCATATTATTTATAAGCATATTATTTTTTTGAATTCTGTATTTCCAAATAAAGAGTTTTGTGTTTAACCCTTCCACCCCTATGTAATTTCAGTAGACCCTACCATGCATTGATATTGATAAGTCAATTATGGTCTTCAGTGGTGAAAGGGTTAAATTAAGACTGGAATTGCACTTATCTGGAATTTAAACACTAAATACAAGTGTAGGTACAGAAACCATAATCAAACGGTTACATTTTATTATCTGGCCTCATCACTCAACCTTTTTCACTTTCAAAGTGCAGAAACAAATCAAATTTAACACAGAGGAGACAAGCACACACCCATGACTTTCTGCTGTTTCCAATACTAACTTCACGCCTGACTTTGATTTACTACTCTATTTACATTATTTACAATAGGATATGATCTAAGACTAGGGATATTTATTTCAACCACTTTTTACCTTGGAAGTTTTATATCCTACAAGTATTTTGATTACATAAGTGCTAACAAGTGTTTCTGCTTTTAGAAACCAATAAAATTAGTAGATAGCTAAGTATGAAGTACATCTAATGTTGATATTTTAGGAATGTGTTTCTTCAAAAAAAAACTCCTCTATCGCCAAAATTGCTTGAAAATAATGTGGACAATTGGTGACAGTATAATGAGGTTTTACTGTATATAGCTTGCACAAAAACCATACAAGGCTCTGCATACATTTAATATTGCTAGACACATTTTCCATCAAGAAATGAAAATGTTTTTCGAACCCTGGTCAAGTTAACCATATGGCGGAGTAGCCAGACTATCAAAGGTGAAACAAAGAATTGATCCTTTTTGTCATTGGTTTATAAATCTATATAGAAATGGTTTGATACCTAATAAATGTCAATTTTACATGTTCGTGTTGCATTGAACTGAAGACTGGAATCATGACAGACCAAACTTTGTGGTTTTTACAATGCGAGGTTTGTCATCACTGGTCTACCGAACCGTGATAGGATATATCACCAATATTCTTGCAACATTTAATTTACTTCTTTAATAAGGAATATGAATAGAAAAAATATGTATAAAAGATCATTAAATGGGTAAAAATATATAGCTGAAATATCTTCAATCTAAAATTTGAATTTGTATTAAAGATTATTCATGATTTCACTTCACATTTAATGTATTGTATAAAGATTTATGTCTCGTGCTTGTATAAAACACCAAACAACACTCTTTACAAATACAGGATTTTTACAGGAACTAATCAAAGCACAAAGTAAAACAAATCTGATAAACTAGTTTGTAATTTATTGTTTCATAAGTGGCACTATGATCTGTACTATTTGACGATAAATTACACCAAGGAATACAAAATGACATTTCATGCAATCATTTCCCTGTGCCTGTAGCAAGTGCAGGATAAGTGATTTAATGAACTACAACTCTTGAGCTAAACTACGATGTACAATACATTTCACGCGACGTACACGACCAGATTTACAAGTCGATAATTCAAGGATTTACCACACTTCTGATAAATCTGTAGCCATGCTGAGCTGGTGAAAAATATGGATTCTGCCTACAATATCCACACAGAAAAGACCATCTGACTAAAACAGTAAATCTAACTGCAGTGAATCTCGGCTAAGTACAGCTTTTATAAGTTTATATGTAGTCCAAGACCGAATAGTAGAAAGATACACTTCTTGTTTGCGATTCTCAACAAAAAAATGCAGAAGAAAGGAAAATCTGTATCAGAATCTTCTTCCTTCCTTTTCTGTATACTTGAGAATCAAGACTTCGCTCACACTTCCATGTAATCTAATAATGACCTTCTTCCTCTTTCAGGTTAAAAAAATAATATTAATGTTGATTTAGTTTCAAGTCAATTAATCCAATACATAGACATCATGATTATAAATAGTAACAAGTTTCGTACACACATTTAAACATCAATATTATGTACACAAAAAGTAAAATGTCTTCTGCACAGCTTTCTTTCTCTTCGTCATGCACTCCTCTTCTCTAACAGTCACAAAACACATCACAAGTCCTGTATCACAACACCTTCTCAACTTGTCGTCAGCTCATCGCTTTTCAGAGCGGGCAGCTTGGCAACCTCATAAAATACCCTGAAAGAGAAAAAAAAGTATATCTTTATTACCTGGTCAGAATTAAAATGAGCAAGGAGTTGGAAATGATCAATTTTAACAATGTTTGGTTGAGAAAGTTAATATGTCCTTCTACAAATCTTACAGGTTCATTCATGTTGAGCTAGGGAAAGGATAACAACTTTCTAAAGGCAATTCAAGGAAAAACTTGCACAAGCAGGGTTTATAGATTCTAATCCAAGAAATTTTCAATGATGATAAAATACTCTCCGAACGCAAGGAACCAATTTGTTATTTTTTTAATAAATTTTGATGCATTCTTCAATAATCAAATATGGTGCAGTACCTGTGAGAGTATTTGGACTTGATAGTTGTGAGTTGTCTTGACGGAGAATCTACCATGGTGTTCAGCTCCTGCATCAGAGGTAGCAGTTGTTCCGCCTGGTAGCCTGTGTAATACTCTAGGGTCCTGTTCTGTAATCAAGTTCATAAAACAAAAGTATAAACTACTGTCTGCATTGAAGGTGAAAGTAGAGAAAATAACACACCGATAGTCCCTTATTCATAAGATTCATCAAAAATACTTGAATTAAAGCCACTTTTATGTTCCTGTTTATCACGAATACAACTTTTTAACAAGACATGGTTCTTAATCCATCGTTTTACAACAAAATTTAATCATTACAATGGAATTATATTTCCTGTCAATCTTAAATTATCTTATATCAAAGTCAACCAATTTATTTCCTTTGTCAAATAAGAATAAAGAGTGATTTGTGGCACCTTTCAGATTTTTTTGAAAACAATGATTAAGCATAAACACAATTGGTTTATTTTCATCACATATATGTATTCTCTGAATTGTTTTTTTATCATGTATTATATGTTCTCTGAACTGTGAGTCTTGTCCTTACCCATTCTCCACACTTCTTCATCCTGAAGGCCAGACAGAGACAGGCAGAGGCCATCTCCGACTCGCGGTACTTCAGAAAGTCATACTCCATGAGGGACAGCTCCAGGATGTATCGGGCCAAGGTCAAGGTCTCCATTGATGCCCTAGCGCACTGTGGAAGAAAACAGAGTGAAAACCTAATTCAACACCTTGAATATGTATTACATTTATAGCAGTGATTATTACAATAGCAAACTTTATTGAAGTCTAAAATTCACAAAGGTACATGAATCACAACATATATAATTAAGTCAGAACCACTCTGACAGCTTGAATAACATTTTACAGATGTTTATAATTATCTTAAGTGACACTTAAAAGTAAAATTTAAGAAAAAGTTAAGAATATGATATTTAATAAATTTACAGATTCTTTAGCTACCGGTACCATACATCAACATGTAGATGTTCCCTTGCCATGGAGTTGTACTATAGATAATTCCAGGTAAAATAAACTAACTTACTTGCTACCATTTGAGTACACAATGGACTAAATATTTGAAGTTCAACTCTAATACAGAATACCATTTTCTTTTTTCACATAAACACACCAGCCAAGGACATTCTTTGTAGAAACTGTCATATCACCTGCAGTGCACTTACAAACTTTTTCTGATTTTCATAACCTGAAGAACTACATCCTGTATTTAAAACTGATAACAACAATCTCAACTGCCGAGAACAGCCGAACAAGAATTAGGCATACACTTTGTATCAAATTTCCCAGACAATAAACAACAAACATCACTTAGTAATCATATTTATCATTTTAGAAACGGTGAAATATCTCTAACAAGACAAACATACACCAAGTATAAATAAGTTATACATTAACACTACTTTGATTTTCAAAACAGTCAACCTCTAACAATAGCTATGCTTTGCAATCCAGATGAGCACTTCAAAAACTATGACATCCTTTACAAGACAAACACAAACAAATGTCAAATTGTTACAAACATCAATAACAAACACCAGAGAACTGGACTAAAACTGTAAGTGCTGTAAAATTGGTTTAAAATACTATATGAAAAAATAACTTGGGTCTGGTACAAGTTGACCTACCTTAGCGTATCTACGGAGGAATCTGTAGGAAAGTGGCATGCCAATGTCGAAACCAATCGTCTTCAGGACGGAGCGCTCCATGGCTAGGAAGTCATTCTTGGTGTAGGCGTCGTCACAGATGTACAGGAAGTCGGCTACCATGGGAGGGCATCTCTCCTACACACACAAAAATGTATATATGAAGACATGTTTAAAAAATTTACTGTACAAAAAATTGCTATGGTACTAACTTAACTAGTTCATCCATGCAATTACTATAACAACACATATAAGAAACTGCTAAATTTCAAAGTAATGATTACCACAAAAAAATGGACAATATTTCACAATAGATCTAGGAAATATATTTCTTCTTCATCAGAAACTTTCTTTATATTATAATCATATCACAGCTGCTGAAAAGAAAACTAATCCATTAAAATCAAAACTGATATCTTAAGCTAGTCCAATTAATATTTTATCTTTAATGGTTAAACAAAGGATGACGAACACTTACATCAAATTTACAGGAGATGAAGAGGGCTGCGGCCCCTACCAGCTGTAGGCGTTCCTTGGACACATTCTTGGTGGTGAGGTACATGTCCACCAACTTGACGGCTAAGTACAGGGTTTCGTGGTTCAGCTCGAAGTTCTCCTGGACTTCCACCAGCCAGTCTACCAGTATAGCCCGCATGTTGTTGGTCAGGGACGTCTGCTTCTCCATGTATGTAGGCACCATAAATTTCAACTGAAAAGGGAGAAAAATGTTAAGATTATTTACACGTTTAAAGCCAAAAAAATGCACTGCGTTGATCTACCAAGTTTACTATAAATGGGCAGGAATATTTTTACCACGTAATGAATGATAATGATTTATAAAAGAATCTACTACTTTATCTACATGATGTCAAAAGGTAGTACACTCATGATTTTTGTAATAGGGGACGGTAATACTGACAGTACTAAATTGTTATGTGTTATTACAAAAGACCAATCTTTTCCAATAAATATTTTTTATGAAACCCAAAGCATCATATTAACTTTGAAATAAAAGTTATATACAATTTATTTCCATGACTTACCTCCCTTTCCTTGTAGTATTCAAAGATAAACGTGGCATACAGAGCAACCTGGGCAATGTCTTTGATATTCTCTTTGTCCACATCATCTACTCCCTATGAACAAAAAGATAGGTTATGTCATCATATATAATATCATTAGCACAGGTCCTAGAAAATCTGAGCAGAACAGCACCAGGAATGTTATGTTGATCCAATATCCATAGACAGGGTTCTGGTTTATATTCTAACTGAACCAGTTTCATTTTTGTAACAGTTACAACACCTATACAATATAGCATCTATAACAATCCATGGTCGGTGTATGCATGTTATCAGAATTATATGTGACCCTCCAATGTTTACAATTGAACCTTAATATGTTTTCAGAACAAAATGTTGATCGATATATATTTTCTTCAAATGACCGAACTGCCTTGTGAAGACAAAGACAAGTGTTAAAAAATGCAGTCAGTGTTCATAAGTCGTAATTGTTGATGGGATGTCACTTTTTTTTTAAAAAAAACAACAGTAAAACTTACATCAGCTGTCTACTCAGGTTTAAATAACACAGACAATATATATGTCCTGTCCGACCAGCAGAAAATTAACATTTTCAATTTTTCGTGGACCTCATTTTTGTGAGTTTATATCACAAAAGCTAATTTGTTTCATATTATATGTTCTGTATGTTCAAGCTGACAGCTGGAGTCACTGGACACCTCTGCCTATACTTACATCTGGTGGAGAAGCAAGGACTTCCTCTTTGGTGTATGTTGCATTCAAATCCTCTACAATATCATCAAGGCTGCAACAAACAAGAAGTAAAAAATGTCATTTAACTCCTTCACCACTGAAATTTCATAATGGACTATTCCAACCTTTGAATTGGAGGAGTTCAAATGTGTCTTCGGGGGTGAATGAGTTAAGTATACGTAGTGAACCAGTTCACAATACACTTATTTATAAGAACTGTTACGCCAAATGCTAGAAAGCCAATATTTTCCTATTCCATCAGACAGAGAAGTCAATCAGAGTTTCTTTAGCATTATCCATCATAATTGACTGGTCCTCGAACAGTATAATCAAGACCCAAACAGTTTTGAAATTAATCTTGCTGTTATCAGTTTTTCACTCATTCAGGGCTTTCAATAAGATTTCAAGTTGCATGCATCCAACACAAAGTAGACAGATAATTTCAGTACATTTCAATGTACTCTATACCAGTCCTTTATTTTATTTTTTCATGAAAGAAGCCTTTAACTAGTGGTTTACAAGAACATTTTTGGTTAAATTAACAATTATGTGAAATGATGACAGATTGTTAGTTTCAGTAGTGCCAATACATATAAACATATTTGGAATCGGAACTCCACTGTAACTGGCCGCCATTATATAGGACTCGATAACAAATCACAAAGAAGAGAATTTAATTGTATTTCATACCTGGTTTTTGATGATGAAAGACTAGAGGATAGTGAAACTGAGGAGCTTGTGGATTCCTGTGAACTAGATAGTGAAGAGCTTGTGGACTCTTGTGAGCTGGTTAGGGATCGACTTTCCTGTGACAACTGGATAACGTTCTCATCAAGTTCCAACACCTCCTTCGACTGCTTCAGTCTCTTCTTGTCTGGACGTATCTTTTGCTTCACCTCTTTTGCTGGTTTTGGCTGGGGTGGTTTACTTGTCGTTGCCACTACAGCTTTCAGGGGTGCCACAACAGCTTTCAGTGGAAGTTTGGATTTCTTCAAATCAGTTTTTAGCTGTTGTGATTTTTCATTTAAAGCCTTAAAAGAAATGTGATTTGATAATAAATAATATTTTTCTTTAACAAAACAGTTGTGTACAGCAAGCCATCAACATAATATTTAATTGGTCAATAACACTTTATCAGCATGAATAGATTTGACATTGAGGGGGCATTTAAATATCTTTATTCGTTAACTTTAAAATATTTGTTTTCACTATAAATTGGTCAACAAACTCCAATTCCCTCTGTGAACCTATCCGAGTTGTAGTACTGTATAACAGTTTATTGACTCGGAAATAGAATTAACAATATTGGTTGAAAAGCACTTTGCAGTTCCAACTTCCTTGTAATATATCATACATAAGCTTATATCTGTATAGTCATACTTACATTTGTTATATCTCCGAAAGCTGCCCGCCTCTTTTGGTTGGAGTCGTTGGCATTGTCAACATGTCTTTTGAATCCACCCACCTGGGCCTTTGAAACAGCATCATAATGGATCTGAAAACATTTGAAAATAGATTTATTGTTTAATTATCATTGAGGGAACAATGTTTTTTGAAAGACCCATACTGATAACGTCGAACTACAATGATGAGTCGACAAGTAATTTGCAGAAAACGTTGCAAACACAAAAGTACTCGAATTTTACTGACAAAGCAAATGAATGCTTCCAATATATTCTGTGATTTTAAACAAGATCGATATATTCATCTCAAGAAAACAAAATTCTAACTATAATAAATGTTGCAAATGCGAAAAAAAACACGATACGCCAGATCACTATTATCATCAGATGCTAAGCCCATGTGTAGCATGCTTTCTTACATAAAAGGAATCGAGACGCGGACCTATAACAAATCGAAACCAGACTCACTTTAGCGACAGACTTTCCCTTTTTAACTTCAACATTCTGCTGAGAGGTCTTCTGCTTCCGTGCATTTAACATTTTTACGATTTTCTAGATCCTAGAAAAACAGGACACGTTGTTGTTCTTGCCAATGAGCCGAGTTCAAATAAGTTTCGTAGCACAAATTAGACACTCATGTCATAAAAGTTGATTGCCTGATACAAAACTTTCCTCTTCTCGTAAGTGTTGATAATATTTTGTAACTTTTCACTTGAAAATACAACGCTTCTTGCAATATTATAAACGTAAACAAACTCGTGCAGTAGCCATCAGCTTGTTCCAAGGTTTGAATACTGTCCCAAAGCCGAGCGTTCTGATTGGTCAGAATAAAAATACAAGCATTCGGCCACCTAGCGGGCAATAATCATTACAGGGAGGCTATCCACATTCAATACAACGATACTACCATCAAAGTGGTCGGCGATAAGATAAATAAAATATATCATAAATTTCCAATTATAATCATAGATTTCTCTACTATCATAACATGCTTCTAGATTATAATTAGAAGTTTCGAAAAAAATATAATTTTAAAAAAAATCACGGAAAAAATTGATAGAAATTCGGAAAGTTGGAATATTTCATGTATTTTATCAGGGATGTGTAGTGTACTGCATATCCCTGATTTTTTCAATGAATAATTTATCAAAATAGAAAATATCACCAATCAACAAAAAAAAATATTGCGACACTTTCACAAATTTCGAAAAAACTCGCAAATTAAAAAAAAACACGAATTGAGGAAAAAGTTTACATATTTCGTAGAGAAGAAAATGTGAAAAAATGACATGTTTTCCTACCTTGTTGTTCATTTCGAAAAAATCCTTTAGCGATGTCCATTTCCTCGTTGTAGTGGTAGCGGTCGTCACCCTGGCGTGTGAGGATTCTAACGAAGCTGTCTGCTGAGGACATCGGGCTAAGTTTTGTTCATTCTTTTTCGCCAAACTTGGAATTTTAGACTGTTTCTTGGTTGTCTGTGTCTTTTTCCTGTTTCTTGATGTTTGATTTTTCGTCTCAGTTACGTCAGGAACTTTCAGGGGAATTTTGGACTTTCTGATTGCCTTTTTCTGCGGTTGATGAACGTGTGTCTTAGCAACACTAAATTCCTGCATACCGGTAATAAAAAAAACGAAAAAATTAAGCATCGAGTTTATTAGAAATGACGTCATAAAAATATTTCATCAATAATAATGCGAAATTAAAAGGAAACCATATAGTCCATTATCAGTCATTAAAATGAATAGGTCAGTTACAATATGAACCCCCATTAAAATACATTAAAGATAATTTTGTTGAATAATTTTGCAAAGATATAAAGTCCGATCAGATATCACGGTAAAATTAAGGATTATTTCAAATGAAACCAGAATGTAAATAAAAAATGTAACCGTGCAAAGTAAATTGTTATCCTGACCAGATTTCTTGAAATAAAATAATAATTTCAATTAATTAATTCAAATTCCCAGGAAGTAGATTAAAAAACACAGGATGAATAACATTTTCTTTGTACAAATTAGTTGCATAATATCGTCACTAAAGTGTTTCTTATAAGTTAAAAACCTAAAGTCTTCTTATTTAGAACAATAAATATTTTAACTTAGCATAAAGGCATGTATGGCCAAGTTCTCAAAGCATCCGGTAACAGATCAATTAATTATCTTCCCAATAGGGAAAAGGAGTCGCATAGTATAAGGTGTTACAAAGGGAACTATGTTGACATAAGCAATGATCTGATGATATCTTAAGCATTTTTTTAATCAATTCTTTAATTATCTTTAATAAGAGATATAAAACGATAAAACGAAAACTCTTTCGTATTTCGTTTAAAGTTGCAACATCATCCCATCAGCGATCACAGACTGACCTATATACTACATACTGAGTAATTACTTACATTAGTGATATCCCGGGGGCCAAATGCGGCCCTCCGCTTTGGGTTAGGAGTGATGAGGATGTTGAAGGGACGCTTACTCCCTCCACCTTTTTTTGTCTGAAGGATGGGGTCGTGATGTACATTTACCTAGGAAGGAAAAAATATATAAATGTTCGTGAATAAAGGAAAAGAAAGTGAAAATAACAAAATCGGATGATTATATTTTGATAGTTGTATTTTATTGACCTTTAGAAATATGCATTATAGATAATTCAGTTAAAAGAACTGAAATATATGTCAAACATGAAAGAGCGCATTAATCATGAGGATTTTATTCTTTATTTAATATAATTACAAAATCAAAAAATCAAAATTAGATTCGAGATAGCGGTTATTTTCACTCTTTGCTTTACAAATTAGACCACTGTTAAATATGATATTAAGTGTTTATCATATCTCTTAAGTTAAACTACATCCCAAATATTTAAAACAAAACAAAAAAAAACACCAAACCAGTTTCGGTAACTCAGTATTGTTTTTATTCCGTTCATCGATTTTAATGAAAATGAATACCAATTTTAATGAAAAAGAATACCGATTTTAATGAAAAAGATTACCGATTTTAATGAAAATGAATTCCTAAGTAAATGAAAATTGATTCCGATTTAAGTGAAAGTATATTCCGATTTCAATGAAAATTAATACCGATTGAAATGCAAATGAATTTTGATTCCAATAAAAATAAATAAAGGCCGATTGAAATGAAAATGAATAAATACCGATTTCAATGAAAATTACTTCCGATTTCAACTTGAAAAATTAATACCGATTGAAATGCAAATGAATTTGGATTTCAATGAAAATAAATAAACACCGACTGAAATGAAATTGAAATGAAAATATATTCCAATTTCAATGAATCCCGATTTAAACACAAACAACAGATGAAGATGCATAAAATGTTATATACTCACTTTACAATTGATCTGGAAGAACTCCGTCAACGTCGTCCACTTCTTCTCTACGGCCATGATATACTTACTGCCTTACCTTACTGTGTATTTCTTCCGTGTTGTCTTCAACCACAACGAGAGAATGATGTACTTTCAGATGTATAGCTATTTATATAGATACTAGGAATATAATGTCGTATAAAATGTTGTTTTAAAAACCAAAGTACCTCCACTCAGATATTAAGCTGCCATTATTAGTGTTAAAACATTCCCTATTCAACTAGAAATAATTATTGTAGGGGTCTTGATAGTTCTGTTTACTTTACGCTGAATGCCAGCGATATGTATACTCCGGCAACATCCGTTAATGGGGGTTTAATTGGGGTGATATTACTGTGCCTATTTTACGATATATCTACAAGCCTTTTGCTCAGTTTCTCGTTGACGTCGCGGAGCTTGTTTGTTTTAGTGATAAACAACATGGCTGACACGAGTAGGTGACGGAACCACGGCCTCAAATCACGAGTTATGTCAAAACAACACCCGCATTCTTTTAATTAACACTCCACTTAATCAAATCGATTTACCGCTGTCCAATGACAACTGTGCAAGTAAAGTTGAGTTTTACCAGAGACATAAATAAAGCAAGTAGTCTAATTCCGTGGTAGTATATACGTCTCTGGTTTTACGATTACTAAGAAGAATCTGCAATAAGATTAGTCAATTTGGAAATATGTAATACCAAAGTTTTTACTAAAAGGACTGTAAAAGCGTCATTTACATTATAAATAAAAGTTTTTAAACGAGTCCAATGCTGAAAAACCTTATACTTTTTTTTGCATTGGATTTGTACGGGTTTTTCAGGTGACGACTCCGTGAGCCAAGTAAAGTGTTACAGATGCTGCGATGCGTTATCTAGAAATAAATATCACCACGGAATTATCTAAGTCCGTGATATCACTATTCGTTGTAAAAAAAAAAAAGTCGATTTCTTTGTTTGATCGAAATATTTTTAGCTCCAGATTTGGAGTTTGGATTGTCGTTGGCGTGGCGTCATACCGGGTGTGTAATTGGAGAATGATCTTAATCTGACGTCTTGAACTGTTTTTGAAGTCGATTTTTTGAAGATGGGGTACGTTTAAGTTTCTTTCAAATACTTAAGTACACATTGGAAGAAAACATTATTGTAAGACATAATTATTTGAATTCAAAATGAAGAACAAACTGACATTGCATTTTTTTTTCAGGTATGTTCGATAAAAAAAATACTACCCAGCAAAATTTGAATTTTTTGTTGGATGTGTTAAAAGCTATCTCGTAATAACGAGAACGTAACTTGCAATAAGGAGATTTCTTTTTCGTGTGGTTCTAATCGGCTTTCGTACCTATGTGATCTAATATTAATATACACTTTATTTCATTCCACGTTAAGTTGCATGGACACCACATAACATATAAAGTACAGAGGAATGGGATCCGGAAACAGGTTGAAATAACTTATATATATTTTCCCAAACAGGATATTTAGAAGATATGTCAACCATACTTTGAGGCAAATGCATGCCAACTTGCAGCATAATAAGTTATTGAAGTCTATTGTAATTAAAAAAAAAATGTCTCTGAGCTAAAACCTGCTGAAAAAGTCAAACATTTTGAAATAAGCTCCGCCCATTTCCTTTTATAGTCTCGGCCCCCCCTTTAAGAAAGGGCCACAACCACAGTAAAAAAAAAAACACCTCTATGCACGGACTTAGATAGCAAGTCTTCCTATGGTTATCTCACACAATATAATAGTTTTAAAAGCTTTAGTCAAAAACTGTTGCCGTCACAGGATTACATATACGCTCCACTTTTTGTGGCCATATAAAAATCATCTATAAAGGGGCGGAATCATGTAGGCGATAAAACCCTTCAACCAACCAACCAACAGAACCCCAGCTGTGTCGATACTGTATATCCCAATAAAGTGATGGATCAACTGTTACTTTTTGATGTTGCGGTCATCTCCTCCTGTGGCATTTAAAATACCCGCATAATGAAAATTTCCGCAACATGTTTCTATGTAAATATATTTTTTTACGCAATGACAATGAGAGGTTTTATTCTCAAAATCTGGTTACAGCGTAGAGAATCTACATATATAGAACAATTTACATACAAATCGTGGTGTTTATAGCAGGGACGTATAGTGTCTCTGATTATAGGTAGGTACGGGAACCGTAGCTTCTAGGCCCGATTTTTTTTTAGTTATTATTATCGGACCTCCGATAATAATAATAACAAATAAAAAATCGGGGCCTAGAAGCTACATGTACGCAGAGACGTATATATGTACGGTTTTCGCAGCTAGATTATGGTCCGATAACATTTTGTTTGTTTTAAAAGATTGGGCCTAGATGCTACGGTTCCCGCAGCCAGATTATAGGTACCCAATTATGTGCTTAAAAATTTACAAGTGAAATTAATTCTTCATTGCTGACATAATT